GGATGGTCCCCAGTCACACGTATTCAGGCCAGCGTGACAGGTAGTCAGTAATCCAGGAGACAATGCTGGAGCTGACACCCATCCTGAGCAGCTTCTCACTCATCAGAAAGGGCTGGATTGAATTAAAGGCACTGGAGAAATTAAAAAACAAAAACAAAACAAAAACACTATCCTTCCAAAGCTCTTAACGCCGTCTCGCTACAGAAATGCAGAAATGGCACTGGCACAATGCAAAAGGTCTTCCATAGCACCGGTATCCTTTCAAGCTTCAGACTCAGTGTGAAGAGAAAGGTCTTGGTCTTGTCCAGGAGACTTGTTTTGGGGAACTTTCTCCAGCTGCCTTCTCACCTGCACAGGTGGCACTGGGCTGGCTTCCTCCGTGGGGGTAGGTGTGGGAGCATACGTGATGGGTTGATGAATGGCTGTCTGAGTGGTCTTTGGTGAGGTGTGGATTGGGCGTCTGGGAGGTGTAGAAACAGGGGTGCCAGGGGATGAGAAATGATTAAAATGCAAATTGAGTAGGTTTGACCTTTCTGGGTTATTGTCCTGCTGCTTTGTTTTGGTGTTGAAACCTGTAATGGCCTTCATCCCCTGCTACACTTCCCTGGTTTTATTCTATTGGAGTTTCCTTCCTCAGGTCTCCTGGCCCTGCCTGAGCTGGACCTTCAGTTGCCATTGCACCCTCGTCACCTCGTCCTTGTCACCAGAGCTGAAGACCCACTTCTTCTTATTGAGCAGATCCTTCAGCTGGCTGGTGATCCAGGGCTTTTTGTTTGGGTAGCAGCGGACAGTGCATATCTGGGGACGGCTGTATCTTCACATGAAACTAATAAAACTGCAATGCAAGACTGTTATCCATGGAATTACCTTAGATTATGTACATGCATTCCCAATGATGTGTAAATTACAGAGAGGTACTGACTGCTGTCCCTGGCGACATAACCGCAAATCCATTCCATAAACACAATGATCACTAAAATATTCATAACACAAGCACAAAATGGGGTCAGCCTCTCTCATGTCGCCCAAACTCCCTCTGCGAGTGCTAATTATGACAACAAATGACTCCTAAGATCACAGCGTCCCTTCTGCCTATAGGTCTACTCTTTCACACACGCCCAGACAAATTAGGGGTTTTGTACCACAGACACAGGAATTCTAATGGCGCGCGGTAAGGACTATTTGTATTGAGCCAGACGGAGCGGAGGGACTCATGATAAATTGCTCTAATAAAATGCAAACAAAGAGAAAGTGAGAGAGAGAGATGAGAGGCTACTTACAGCTCGGAGAGTTGAAGGTGCTGGAAGAGCTGCCATGACAGGGTGCTCAGAGGATTCTTTGACAAGTTGCTGTGAAAAAAGAACAGAAAAATACAGTTAAATGATGTTTAATGATAAGGTTTGGGAGTGTGTCTTGTTTGATGCTGCTCCAGTCCTGTTTCTGTGCTATATATTGATGTTATTTAGTCTCGGAAGATCAATTAGCAAATCAGTGTGTAGGTCACTCGTCAGGAGAGCGTAACCATACAGCCACGTTGTGTGATCAAATTCATGAGCTAGTTTTCTTGAGTTATAATTCAAAAGGAACCCCTGTACACTGTTATTCTTGCATTAAAAAGCGGAGATAAATAAAACTATTAAGAACATTCAGCTTGACAGGCAGACCTCACCAATCACAGGAGACTGGTCAAATGCACATAGCTAAGAAATTAGCACACGTTTCTGTAGGATACTTTGATATTGTTTACGGATTAAATTATTCCACAAATCAATGACTTTCCCCAAAAATAAGACCACTGGCTACAGGTCAAACATGCACTGGTGATCCTAGTCCCATCCCTGGACGCACGGAGCAGGCCCAACAAATGAAAGTGTGTTTCTTCGTGGAAGGATACAAATGATTAACTGTAGCAAACCCTGAGGGAATGGGAGCTGTTACAACTAAAATAAAGCAGATTTCTACATAATCTGATCTACACAGCACAGTTAATGACCCTCCAAGTGCAAGCCTGCATTAATAGATGAGAATAAGGCAAAGTGCTATTGACAAAGGCAGGGGAAACAGGCCTGGCTGGACAGTGCTGGAGGGCCTGGCCAACTCAATATAAGAAAGTTGACCGCTTCCAAGTCAAATAATTCAATTGACTTAAGGAACCCCCGAGGCTTAAGAAGCCACTAAATCCAATATGAGATGGCCAGAGACACACGAGTGATCTGACCAGAGCGGAGAATTGGTTTAACTATGAACATCAGACATCCGTCTATAGAGGAAGGGCCCTGTGAGAAGCTAACATACTGTTTGTCATAAAGCACGCCATCAAATCCACTTATGCAGCACATGTAGCATCCACTCTGTGCATTCAATAAGGCAGGAGAGCCAACACAATACTATAGAGCTCATGAACATTTAACAACATATGGCTTTGCATGGCTGTTGTAAATGTAGAGAGATCACGGTGCACCAGGGAATAGGCAGATCCTTATATGTGAATGCAAATGGAAACGTATTATAAAATATACATAAAGATAGGCATAAATGAATATATACAAGTAAGTGCATGATGTCTGCACTACTGTCCTATAGTGACCTGCCACATGAGGGGACGCGCACACAAACACACACACACACACACCTTCATCATCGTCATTAACCTGAGAACGCGCGGATCACGTTTCCTTCCGTAGACACTGCGCGGACACCGACGTGCTCCCGTGAGCCGCGTGTGGATCGTGTTTTCTCGCGTACGCTGCGTAAACACCAAGACTAAAACCGGGACTAACCCAGTCCAGGACTAAACCAGGACTAAACCAGGACTAAACCAGAACTAAAACCAGAACTAAAACCAGGTCTAAACCAGGTCTAAATCAGGACTAAACCAGGACTAAACCAGAACTAAAAACAGAACTAAAACCAGGTCTAAACCAGGACTAAACCAGGACTAAACCAGAACTAACACCAGGACTAAAACCAGGATTAATCCATTCCAGGACTAAACTAAGACTAAAGTAGGACTAAAGCAGGTGTAAACCAGGACTAAGGACTAAAACCAGTGATCTCATATATAAAGCATTTCTCTATCAATAATATTTTTAATATGGTTAAGGAAAGGACTTTTTATTGTCTTTAAGTAGACAAAAGTTATTATGTTCAGATTTCCTCGTCTTTGCTACTTTACAGCAAACAGTTTCTTATTCATGGAGACTTGGGCTAAACAGCCAATTTGAAGAGATTTGTTAAACAATAAATGACTTTATAAAGTCACTTTTTTTAATCTATATCAGTCTTTTGATCTGCCACAATAATGTAATAATGAATTTAAATGAAAATACCTCAAATTGAAAGCTTTTCTCAGCAATTTTTAGGTGAGATTAAAATGAGATTAATTAGATTAATTAATTACAGATCATAATTAATTAATCTCTCCATTTTTTCAATCGCATGACAGCACTAATATATATATATATATATATATATATATATATATATATATATATATATATATATATATATATATATATACTTTATGAGTTAGACAGGATATGGTTCCATATGTGTATGGTTCCATACGTTTACGGTCATAGGCCGTAGGCTGTATATGACCTAGATCTAATCTCTTTATAGGTTATCCTACAACTCAGGGCATTTACTTGTTTTCTGCAAGGTCAGGGGGACGAAAATGAATAAAATGCCCCTTCTATATGAATAGAAACACAATCATTTCAGAGGTACTTGTAATTATGCTCTTCTGAGGGAAACAATGCCTGAGAGATCGAGAAAAGGGCACCAGTTACCCAAAGTGGTTGCTATGGTTTCCCTTCCGATGCTCCGCCTCTACGTGACGCAGCATTGTGCACCCGTCAGTCACGTCGGCTTCACGTCGACGTGCAAAGACCAAACCAAACAGCAAAAAAAAAGACGAGAATTTATGATAATGGAAGGGAACCGATATCTTTATATGCTCCAGACTTCGTTGAAGACCACAGGATCCCACAATGTTCCCGTTTAGTTCTCTGTAATGTAGTGTTTAAAGTAGAATGTGGCTAGTTTGTTAGCTGTATTTAACAACAGTCTCTGTTGATCGACGCCAGAAGCTCAGAGATTTTCTAACTGGTTTCTTCCCTTTCAGCAGGTAAGAACCCTTGAGTGTTTGTGTTTATTCTACAAGAACAATTATTTTAAAAGAAAACGAACATAATCAGGATTCGCGCTTGAGTTCATCCTTCATGTTATGCCCTATGCAGGTAGCTCTAGTGGTAAAAAGTTTAACTGTACATACTATGTTTGTGCTAAAAAAAAATCGCTATAAACCTCCTTACCATGAGTCATCAATTACTTTTTGTTCTTGCATGTTTTGCTACTTATCCACAGCTTGTGTTAGTTTATTGTGCCAAGATGGTCACGACAAGATATATCGTATAGGTGAATTTGAAGTCTGTCAAGATTAAGACGAAAAATGTGTCTTTTTTTTAATACTCCAGTCTTAATGTTTCCGTGAGAAAGCCATCCATTACTGTAGTCTCTAAAACCTCCTATTACAATAGTCTCTAAAACCACCGATTACAATAGTATCTAAAACTACACATTACAATAGTCTCTAAAACCACGTATTACAATAGCCTCAATACAATAGGCCCAAAATATCTGTCTAGGCTTAAATCTTGTGGTGATTTTTATGTTTGTTGTTCTCTGAACAGACTTTGGAAACTTTTCTAATGGTAAACAACAATGACACAGAAAATCAGCATTGCATCCATCTCTATTGGAGTGGAAGGCATGACTTGTGGGTCCTGTGTCCAGTCCATTGAGCAACGCATTGGATCCTTTCCAGGAGTGATTCATATTAAGGTGAATGATTTTCCCACAAGTCTTGAGAGGTGCTGAACTTACACTTGCTAATGTGTGACATGATTTGAACTACTCCATGGTGCAACAACATGTTCCACTTTTTCTGCGGTCACATGAATAGAATGAGTTTCTCTACTTTATACTTTTAGTAAAGGATTTGTGTCCATTTTGCAAGAATGGATGATCATTAGAACTCCCTTGGGGGTAGATTTGTCTTAATTAAAAGTAAATAACATCATTGTTGTATAGGAGCTGGCAGCTGATGTGGCCTGCTGTCTCGCAGTTTGTGTGTTTATGCCCAAGGCATAGCTCAGATGGGGGAGATAATGTAATAATCCTAACTACTGTAGATAAACCTTTGCCATTTGCAAACGGAAGCATTGGCCAATAAACTCTCTGTGCTTACAGGAAATGTCAATCATGTCATGCAAAAATGTCCCTGGATTTTATAACTTTAATATGTATAGACCAGCACACTCAAACACAAAGCCCTTTCACCACATGTCGCATTAACCCTGTGATCTGTGCTCAGTCAAGTGATCTCTTTAGTGAGTCACATGGTTCCTTCCTGCTTCAACTAACTTCTCATTTTTTGTAAAAATTAGATTCACTCTCCACCCTTTAAAAGTAAACTAATAAATCCAAAATTTTGAATGGGAAAAGTGAAGGGGAAGATAATAGGATTTCAATCGATAAATTGAGGTTAACTTCACTAAAAATAGGAAAATCAAAGGAGATACTGGAAATGTTATAACCACTTGGATACATGTGATATGAGGGCACGGTTTAAAGACATTTACATTTGTTTTTATTTAATATGATTGTGACAAAAAATTATACATTTTCTGAATCTCAATTAAAATTAAGCCACCCTTTTGTAAAATAAAACCAATTAATTGATGTTTCTTCCCTGGAAACTCAAAATGATTGCTTACTTTTTGTTATGAAGAAATTTTGATCTGATGTTAGTTAGCAACACCTGAAATGTTTTATAATCTACTTCACTTTGCCCCCAGTTGCCCCCATTTAGGAATTTCGAACATTCCTATGACAAAACATTTCCTGTGACATAGTGTTGCAAAGGCTCTATTTGCCACAGTTTTAACAAAGTCATCCCATTGAAATCAATATACTGAGAAGTGGAAGTAAGTGCTTCATGAACATATGATTTTTTATTTATTTATTTTTATCAATGAGCAACTTATTACATGAATTGATTTTGATCTAAAATTACATGACAGCCATAAACATTTTCTTATTGCTTTTTTAGGTGTCTTTGGAGTTTAAAAATGCTGTCATCATCTTTGACCAAAACAAGCAAAGCCCTGATTCTCTTTCCTTGGCCATTGAAGATATGGGTTTTGAGTCAAATCTCCCAGAGTCCAATAAAGCCTCTCCTGTGGCCACAGACACTCAGCTTGTTCCTGCATCGGGGCTGTCTTCTGCTGCCCAACAGGAGACTCTAGACCGACTCACACACATTCAGGGTGTGCTAGAGGTCAGTCACAGCCCTGTACAGATGGGTTTCATGGTCACCTTTGTCACCGGCCTGACGTCTATACAACAGCTCAGTGAAGTAGTTGCCAGGGTAACGGCAACAGTCTCTCCCAAAGACAGCAGCCCCAGTTTGTCCCTGCCCCACCTTGCTGGAGCTGAGGCAACGCTGCTGAAACTGTGCATAGAAGGAATGACCTGCCACTCCTGCACCACCACCATTGAAGGGAAGATTGGAAAACTGAAGGGCGTTGAGAAAATTAAAGGTTTTCTTTTTTTCCCCTTTACCTCATGTGACTCTCAGTATTTATTTAGATTTTATGAATTGTAAATACCTCAGCCAGATTTGGTATTTAGTCATAATCCTTTATTTGTACTTGACTTTTTGAACTAATTACTTGGCATTTGTACAGTATGTGTAGTTTATTATTTTGAATAAAAAAATGTCATCCAGATGGTAAATAGTTCTGAAAGCACTATACCTTGTTTCTCTTGTTATCCACAGTTGCTTTAGATGCTAAAGAAGCTACCATTGTATACCTGCCATACCTCATCTCTATCCAGACCATCCTGGAGCAGATTTCTCATGCAGGATTTAAGGCGACTGTGAAGTCGAAGCCCCAACCACTGCAGCTGCTGAGTGAAATTGAGCGTTTTGTTGATTGCCAAAAGTCAGCTGTGTCTTCTCCTTCGGAAAGCACAGAAGAGAATGAAATCTTCATAGATACAGCACTCGTCACACTCAGGGTCAAAGGCATGCACTGCCACTCTTGTGTTGTCAATATCCAGGACAACATTTCTGTGCTGCCTGGTATCTCCTCTGTGGAGGTTTCACTAGAAAAAGAAAAGGCATCTATAGTTCATGACCCTTTGAAGATATCAGTATCTCAAATACAGCAGGCAATTGAAGCTCTACCGCCTGGTAACTTTAGGACTCAACTTTGGGACTCTCCTGGTGCTCTCAGCTCTCCTCCTCCTCAGTCTGTATCGACGATGCCTAGTTTGGGAGCCAACGCCAAATATGCTGTGCCCCAGCCATGTTTTAGCCAGCCTCTGTCTTCTATAGCAAATATTCATATTGAAGGTATGACCTGTAACTCCTGTGTCCAGTCCATTGAAGGCATGATTGGCCAAAGGAAAGGAGTCAGTTCAGCCAAGGTCTCTCTTTCGGAGCACCAAGGTGTCTTTGAGTATGATCCTCTAGTGACTACAGCAGAGGAAATCAAGGCCGCCATTGAAGACATGGGATTTGATGCCTTCTTACCTGGTGAGCTGGTTATATCATTGTAATTGTGTAATAAATATGAATATATTAAGCTAATTCAAATATACTCTTTGTAATTCACAGAAACAAACTCACTGCTGCTGGAATCCAATGTGAAAGTTTCAAAGTCACAGAGCCTTGCTCTTTTCAAAGATGCAAACAATGAGATACTCAGAGAAAACACTTCCAACACAGAGAATAATAAAGATGCTTATTCCAAATGTTACATCCAAATTGGAGGCATGACCTGTGCTTCGTGTGTAGCAAACATTGAACGTAACCTTAAGAATGAGCCTGGTAATTAAAATTAATGTACTCCTATAAATTCAATCAAATGGATGATGTGATGTAAATAGTACACAAAATTATAATACAAATCTATACTAAACCACTTGTCTGATTTCACCTAGGCATTCACTCAGTTCTTGTGGCGCTTATGGCCAGTAAAGCAGAGGTACGCTATAACTCTGAAGCCACTGACCCCATGAAGATTGCTGAGTCTATAAAAGAACTGGGCTTCACCGCCTCAGTCATGGAAAACTATGAAGGATCTGATGGAAACCTTGAACTTGTGGTGAGTCCCATATTATAGCTCTTTATTTATGTTTATTTTTACCCATCTATCTAAGGGTGGGTAAAAAATATGGCACTTTGATTATCTTATCTGGTGATTGGTTTTGTCTTGTCTTGTAGATCCGTGGAATGACGTGTGCCTCTTGTGTTCACAAAATTGAATCCAGCCTCATGAAGGAGAAAGGAATTATATATGCTTCTGTTGCCTTGGCAACAAATAAAGCACATATTAAATATGATGCTGAAATCATGGGTCCACGGGACATAATTAAACATATAGAGGTTAGATTATGTTGCTTTCTATGATTTTGGACAATCGTTTTAAATGACTTTTTTTAGTCATAAAGTGTTAAAACATTGGAAACATGTATTTATTCACAGAATCTTGGATTTGAAGCATCTTTGGTTAAAAAGGACCGCACAGCAAGTCATTTAGACCACAGCAAAGAGATAAAACAGTAAGGAGTCTGCCTTTTCCATCATGTGTGCTTTGTCTGTTTTGTGATTATTCTAATCGTTTGGCCTTTTTTAGATGGAGAAAGTCCTTTATTGTCAGTTTGTTTTTCTGCGTGCCTGTCATGGGCATGATGATTTACATGATTGTCATGGATCACCAGATGAATATTTCTCACCATCACAACTTCAGTACCGAGGACCGCAACCGCTACCACTCCACAATGTTTCTGGAGAGACAGTTAATTTCAGGACTCTCCATCATGAACCTGCTGTCCTTCCTCTCCTGTGTGCCTGTCCAGGTAAACTTTACATGCTTTAAAAAACAATTGGAAATTATATTCATCTGTCTAATATGTTGCTGAACAGGGGACATAACTTTAACCTTTCTTCCCCTTTTCAGTTTATTGGTGGCCGTTACTTCTATATCCAAGCATATAAAGCTGTCAAACACAAGTCTGCCAACATGGACGTGCTGATAGTTCTGGCCACCACCATTGCCTTTACCTACTCAGTGGTCATTTTAATAGTAGCCATTGTGGAAAAAGCAAAAATCAACCCCATCACCTTCTTTGATACTCCACCGATGCTCTTTGTCTTCATCTCTCTTGGACGATGGTTGGAGCAAATAGCAAAGGTTTGAGTAAATTTATGTAATTACTTGAAGAAACTGCATATCAGTGCTTTTAAAATAACCTTTTTGCAATTGTACTTTTAGAGCAAGACATCTGAAGCTTTGTCCAAATTAATGTCACTACAAGCTACAGAGGCCACAGTGGTTACTCTCAGCAGTGACATGTCCATTCTCAAGTACTACTCAGTCTTCATACTGAAATTGCTGGTGTTTTTTTGTTTTTTTCAGTCCATATTTTCATTTTTTCATTTATCTGTTTAGTGAAGAGCAGGTGGATGTTGAACTAGTGCAGAGAGGCGATGTAGTTAAAGTTGTGCCTGGAGGAAAATTTCCTGTTGATGGCAGAGTTATTGAGGGTCACTCCATGGCTGATGAATCTCTCATCACAGGTTTGTCTCAACAGCGGCCAGAGTACTCTACATTTACACATAGTTTAGCTTTCTGCACTTTCAGTGTTATCAGACATGATAGATGACATCTTTTTTACAGTATATGCATAATGTTTTTGCTTCTCTTGGTAGTTGCGTTTACTGACAGTTGTTTTGCACAGGGGAAGCCATGCCAGTAACTAAGAAGCCTGGGAGCACAGTGATTGCAGGGTCCATTAACCAGAATGGCTCTCTGCTTGTGAGTGCTACACATGTTGGCATGGACACAACTCTGTCTCAAATTGTGAAACTGGTGGAGGAGGCTCAGACATCTAAGGTTAATGAACTATGAGCAATTCACCTTGTCTACCTAAGATGATTTATTCTGATCTGTGTACATCTTCTATATTTGCTTTTAGGCTCCAATTCAGCAGTACGCCGATAAGATTAGTGGATACTTTGTGCCATTTATTGTTTGTATATCAGTTCTTACCCTGGTGGCATGGATCATTGTTGGGTTTTTGAACTTCTCCCTGGTTGAAAAATACTTTCCTGTAAGTTATTATTATTATATTTTAATATATTACCAACACAAAATACTGTTTTTAAAGTATGAAGCTGAACTTAACTCTTAACTTTTATATATTTAGGGTTATGACAAGAGCATTTCAAGGGCTGAAGCGGTAATTCGCTTTGCCTTCCAGGCCTCGATAACAGTGTTATGCATTGCTTGTCCCTGTTCTCTTGGCTTGGCAACCCCAACAGCTGTTATGGTGGGAACAGGAGTTGGAGCTCAAAATGGCATCCTGATAAAGGGAGGAGAGCCACTTGAGATGGCACATAAGGTTTGTTAATGAAGATTCTCACACCTCTTTGATGCTATGCAGTGTTGCACTGTAAACCTACATCTTTAAAATACACATTAAATTGTTCCTGTGTATAATATTTTACTCAGCTTTTAATTCATATTCACAGATTCAGTCAGTTGTATTTGACAAAACGGGTACAATTACATATGGTGCTCCTAAAGTTATTCAGATGAAAATGGTCGTTGAAGGAAACAAGATGCCCAGGTCTCGCCTCCTGGCTATTGTGGGAACAGCAGAGAACAATAGTGAACATCCACTGGGTGCAGCCATCACTAAATACTGCAAACAGGTTTTTTGTGTCTTGATGCCAACAGGATTTACTCATATGCAGTATTAAACAAAGATATTTTATAGATCTCTGTTTTTGTCTCTGTAGGAGCTTGGCACAGAGTCTCTTGGTACTTGCACTGATTTTCAGGCCGTGCCAGGCTGCGGCATTCGATGTCAAGTAAGTAACACAGAGACACTGTTGAAGCAGGCGGACAGCGACAGTGAAGACAACAACCAACGCAACAGTGTCTTGGTTCAGATTAGTGACACCCGGACCTCATCCTGCTCCCACCCGCTCATCATGGACCCTCAGCCTCTCAGTATGTGGCCTCTGTTTAAAGAGAAAAAAAAGAGGAAACATTGCATATTTAATTCCTCCTATGTTTAATAGGTCTGATTCAGACATCCACTTACGTAGTTTTGATTGGAAACCGAGAGTGGATGAGGAGAAACTGTCTGCAAGTCAGTCCTGAAGTGGACAATGCAATGACAGAGCATGAGCGCAGAGGACGTACTGCTGTACTAGTCGCTGTCGATGGTAAGTAAATCATTCAACTCAAAATATTTTAGTATTTACAGTGTTTAACATTTTTATTTGTGCATAGATCTTTTGTGTGCGATGATAGCTATTGCTGACACGGTGAAGCCAGAGGCAGAGCTGGCAGTGTACACTTTGACCAACATGGGGCTGGAAGTAGTCCTTATGACCGGAGACAACAGCAAGACCGCACGGGCTATAGCTGCCCAGGTATTCACTCCACACAGTATTAACATTGTGAAATGATTTGATGTTACTAAAAACTGAATGCATCCACCCCTTTTGAAGAACCTGAATAGAAGTATACTGGGGTTGTACTTGTGTGGACTACTTTACATTCTATTATTATTTAGTTATTTAGTTAATTTTATTAGTCTCTCATAGAAGAAATATCTTCTTCTCAAACATCACCCTTATACACCATCAAAACACCAAACAGCGCAATTATAGAGAAACATACAAATCATTCATTTCTCCATTATTCATCCCTGTTTTCAGGTGGGCATCAGGAAGGTCTTTGCTGAAGTTCTTCCATCACACAAAGTGGCCAAAGTGGAGCAGCTGCAGCAGGCAGGAAAGAGGGTAGCCATGGTGGGAGATGGCGTCAATGATTCACCAGCTTTGGCCATGGCAGATGTGGGGATTGCCATAGGAACAGGGACAGATGTTGCCATAGAGGCAGCAGATGTGGTGTTGATAAGAGTGAGTCTACAAAAGCTTGTTTTTTATGCACTTAATTTAGTTCTATGGAATTGATTGTATTTTAAAAAGTATATATTTGCCAATCTCTGTTTGGAATTAACCAATATTTCTGTTGTTCACAGAATGACTTGTTGGATGTCGTTGGCAGCATCGATCTGTCTAAAAAGACTGTCAAGAGAATAAGAATTAATTTTGTTTTTGCACTCATTTACAACTTGGTTGGCATACCTATTGCTGCTGGTAAGAGCTCTGAGACTGAGTGTCATGACATTAGTTTAATGCAATGAGATTATAATAGTAACTTTCTTTTGTTAGGTATGTTTCTTCCCATTGGTTTGGTGCTTCAGCCTTGGATGGGCTCTGCTGCCATGGCATTGTCATCTGTCTCTGTTGTCTTGTCATCTCTTTTACTCAAATGGTAACATATTTTCCAGCTTTGTTTTCCTTTCAAATACAATGTTTTTTCTAACATTTGAAACTCCGTTTCAAGCTATAACAAGCCCAGTGCTGAGAAGTTGGAGGCTCGCTTTGGAAAGAGCCGTCAACAGGGCAGCCTGTCTGATGTCAGTGTTCACATTGGCATAGGTGAACTGCGAAGATCCTCTCCAAAACTCAGTCTGCTGGATCGCATCGTCAACTACAGTCGTGCCTCGATCAACTCACTGCGATCAGACAAACACTCGCTCAACAGCCTAGTCCTGGAACCCGATAAACATTCGCTGTTGGTGGGGGATGCGGCAACTGAGGAGGAGATTTGCTGAGCCAACATTTGACTCAAGCAAGTATGAACTAATTTGAGTAAACATAAGGAAATCACAAGCAGCCTTAGACCACACTGTAATCTGCAATAGGCTTGGTGTGTGCACTGTGCTCCACTATTGACTGAAGGAAAGCCTGTGTGCCTACTGTTTTTCTTTTTCCCCACCCAGCAGAACAGTTTCCTTCATAAACTCATTATCGTGTTGTGGTAACCATGACAAAGGTGTCTATTTCTAATGCACTGTGTGGCTCAGGTCTATCACTGTAGACCAGAAGTATCTAACATCAATCCAAAGACATTTTAGATGTGACACTACAGATTCATATTTTAATCAATGTTCCTGAATGGGAAAAATATTGATGTATAATTTCACAGTATTTATATTATTTATCTTTTTTTGCTCTTGTAAACTTTGTTAAAAAAAGGAAGGATACATTGTGTGAAACAAGTGGACAGAACTGTAAATATCAAACTTCACAAGTGCCACTTGAAATGCTACTTTGGCAAAGTCCAGTACATTCCAAAGATAGCACTGAGCACATGTTGCGCCTGAACAAAGTCGGCTTTTCAGAGCTGAGATTTCAAGGTAAACATGTTGGAGGTCAAAAAACACAAAAGAAAGCTGGTAGTTGACTAAAACCAAGTATATGAAGCAACATTTTGGCCACATGAACCGTCCATTTTAAATATGTTAAACTGTGTCGCACATTTATTGAACATATGAGATAGTTACTTTCAGATGGTGACAAAGGCCAAAAATATATATTGATGTGTCAGACACATGTAAGATAATGCTAAGTTTGTGTGTTTTCACTGCTGCCACTGTCAGCTTTTTCAGCTTTGCACTTAAAAGACCTTCAAGCTCAGATGACACAGTGGGACCAGCTTTATGGACACACATGTGCCCCTGTCTTTTCCAAACAAGTTACTGAGATGAGAAATCATGGTTTGGGATTGTCTAAATCTGCTTTTTTTTTTTTTTTTTTTTTTTTTTTAAAAGGCTGTGGTTGCTGTTCAGTGTTGCTTTATTTCTCTTCTCTAGGACAACTGTTCAGAAATCTTAAACTATTTACTCAAATAGTGTTTGATTTCTTTGTGGCAATCAAAGGCATTTTGCTGCCTTTTTGTATGTATATTGTTGTCATTATTGTCAGTTCTATGTCTCTGTGCATTGTTTCAAAAGGATTTGGATTTGTGTGGAGTGCAAGTTGATGTGCCTTGGCATTAAATGCTTTTTAATCAGGCAGTGCTGTATAATGTTTTCAACCACCAGCAGGCGCTGTAGCGCAATAGCTTAGACCTGCACGTTGCTTTTTTATTACGTCTATTATTTTAATATATCCATGCATCTACCACGATTCTCAGAGGATCAGCAGAATACAACATTTCCGTTAATGAAAACGGAACTTTATTATTCACTTTTTCACTTTGGCAGCTATACTTGTGTTTCAATAAAAATACAGTTTAGAGTTAATGCTATATGAAGTAATGTGGCCCAAAACGTGAGCATGTGAAAAGTTGAGCTTCAATACAATTGTGTTAAAACGTTGTGCTATTTCAGACTGACTGAAAACAACTAGAGTTTGAAAAAAAAAAAAAAAAAACTACATTCAATGACTTAATTACAGCAAATGAATGATACCACAAAGGAAACTGCTCTAAACACTGATATCAAATTTAACAACAGTGATCAGTGTCAGATTCACATTATATTCAACATTAATCACGAGAAATCACAAACTGAGGAGCAACATATACACCAACAAAATCAATATTTCAACATTTAATGAATAACATTTAAATTGTAAACAATTTTTTGATATGGTTTCACTGCATTTATATTTTATACAATTAATCTCTGTGATTATTGTGATTGCGAATTTTCAGTTAGGTATGTATTAGTAAGTAGTAAATTGTATTTGGTAAAGTTCATGTTCAATTTAATAGCTTTATAGTTAATTCAAAATATTCTCAATATTTCAACACAAACATATCCTAACTACAAATCCCTTAAATCTGTACCATAATGGAAATATCTTTTGAGTTATGTGTTACAACATAAACAAAACACAGGCTCCATATCCTACTGCATTGTATTTGACTTATTTGAAGTAAAAAATAGCATCTGGGCAAATCTTATGTTTTCAATACTGGTTTTGTGTCTTGCTATAAACTGTTGATAAAATATAAGCACTTTAGAGAGGAGTGGTTTGTTCTAAGACGTTTCGCAAATACAGTAAGTAGCACATGAACATTTATTAAGACATCAAATACTGTAGCACCTTATCTCTTACTTTATGATTTCTATAGGACCCTGCAATAAGAAGGACTGAGTTTAAATTACATGCCTAAATTCCCAAGTGCTTGCTGAATTTCAAAACTGGCTTAATAACCTTTGAAATCTTAGTTACTTATCATTTTATGTAATGTTAAACAAATCACTGTGAACAGTTTGGCAATGAGTCTTTAAATAAATATGCTGATAAGTTATGATAACTTATGGCAATACATTTCATTGGCAAAGTCATAGTTTTATGTTAATACAAATTCAAAGAGTCACATATTTATAAAATCAAGTATGCAATTACAAGAATGGGGCTTCACATATCCATCTGAGATGTGTACATAAGGAGAAACTTAACTTTGGCACATTGAATAAAATGGACAATGGGTGTAGTCGGTAGAAGAGGCAGTACAGTGGGGCAGTGGCCACTACAGTCTCATAGCCCTTTGTTGAAGTAGACTCTCTCTACTCCAGGGTGCTCTGCCCGAATCTTCTCTTGAAGTTCAGGCTCAAGGCGGCTCACTGATATCGAGCTGTAGCCAGAAAACAGGAATGTGAGACATTTTAGGGGTAAAAAGACCAAACATGCATGTTATGCAACCACTTTGGCAGAACTGCATTATGCAACCTTTGCATAATTTCAATGACTGGAAGCATCCACTCACCTCTTTTGAGGAAAGAGCGCACAACAAAGAGGAGTGGCAAACACCAAGCTAAAACAGAAGAACAGACAGCAATGTGACAAAAAAACATTTCTATCTCAAAAACATGAAACATCAAAGGGGGAAGGTTTATCAGCTGTCTCCATTGTGACCACTCACCAGAATCCCACCAGGCTGACTTGAATAGGTGCACTCATCCATGGGAACTTCTGAAAAGACCAGGCACAAAGGCAATGGTGAATTCCCATACTAGAGTGGCCCAGTGGGCTCAAGTCATTTGTAGAGCTCATGTGCAACTGATAAAAGCATTTACAGTCTGGAAAGATAAGGTTACTCTGGCTAAAGGAAAAGTCATTATACAAACCTTCAGGAATGCCTTCTTTTCTAAGTGGTTCATTAGAAAGGGTGGAATTGCTGAAAAAAGAGAAATAAAATAAAAACTCCTGCTCATTTATGAGTTAAAGTTTAAGTAGAAAGCTGTCCATACCCATTCCTGGTGACGCCATGAGGATTCGGGAGACCACTACCTGAGATATTGCTTGCTGTGCAGCTTTTGTGGATTCTCCTAACCTATTGTCGTTCTCATCTGTAATAGGAATACCATGCTTCAGTTCTCTGTGAAAGTATATATTGTTAGTGTTGTAAAAATATACTGAAACATGAGTTCGAATATAGGGAGTTTTTACCTTTGTCTCATCAATGGGATGTTTATACAGTTAGCAGCAGCAACAGCAGCAAAGGGAACAAACCGTCCGATGAGGGGAGAGACATGCTGTGTCAAGAAGAACATTAGTATTTTTGTTGTTGATTTGATTTGTTTTACACCAGTTACATAAAGTAAGACATTTCATGTCAGGCAGTTTAGTGTGACATTTTATTAAGACTTAAGTGTGTTAGATAAACTAATACCTTTGTTAGTGCATTCAGACCTAGAGCTGTGGCGACAGCCCCAGTTGTAGCAGACACATAAGCCGTGCCAAGCTGACTGCAAACACAAGGTTACTGTCAAGTTATATAAACAGGCATAACTACATTAAAAGATTAGGGGATGATAGCATGGCCGAATGCTTACTTGACTGTGATTGGAGCATCTCCGCTTCTATTAGTGTAATTGACGATAGCATTGAATGACTGATTAATCCACTGCCAGAACAAAACAGCTGGAGTAGTTCTACAAACACACACACACACACAAAAAGCTACAAGAAATAGTAGCAAAAGCCCTGTTCTTGAGAAAATAATGTACATTTTTCTATAGTTGATGTTGGCAAAATTATCAACACATATGCAACTATATATTATAAATACAATTATAGTGCCTGCAGACTCGTCCTTACTTGTAAAATGTCATCATACACCCAGTAATCGTCATATTCATGGGGACTTGGGCTGACATGCGACCAATCAGGATCATCTTCTCTCCAGTGTCGGGATGAAAAGCTGAGTCAAATATATATTTGGCCCTCCACAGTTCATCCTCTGTCAGCCCCGGGGACACAACCCCTTTTCTATGAACAAGACAAACGAGATTTGAGTCAAAATATGGAACTAATTTACTAGAAATATGCTGCTCGCGTAGCTACCTGTAGTCAGTTATGATCCTATGTGCATGGGTTAGTTGTTCGTTGGTGAGAAGGACATTTCTGGGGTCTGTGACAGTGAAAAAATGCTTTGCTCGACCCACAAATGTGCTTTGGTCCCACCGAGGCTCATTGATATTTATGGTAGTGGATAGCTCTGCTGCCATGTTTATCTGAGGGGAAGAAAATAAAGCATCAGTATCAAAAGTATGCTCAATGAACCATGTTTACACAAAGTGTACTTGAGGCAATATAACATTATGACATAAATATAGGTCTAGGGGTTATTGAGATACAAAACAACAGTATTTTTATGGTATTTATTTAAAATCATAATCTTACAGCTGGATAGTAATACAGATATAATATACTAGTATATGTACTGTGCACATACTGGGTTAAACATAATTAAACATAAAATAGTCAAAATAGGTTTAAAAAGATTTTGCAACACAAAAGAGGATTCCTGTGATACCAAAGCATATACAATAACAACTGTTGTCTTTTAATTTAGACCTTTTCCCTATTTATACTATGCACTAATGGCACTAACAGTGGCATTCCAAATCTTCTTCCCCAAGTCAAAAAACATTTGTGAAAAACAAATGCAGCCCCATGCTTCTGCTTATTCAGCATTATGTTACTATGGTAATGGCTGACCTTACACAAAGGTTGTGAAGCGCTAAATTGCAAAGCCCTATTATGGTAGCACACCAACCCCCAAACTGTAGCTAAAAGCAGGCGCTTGGCAGGGACAGGCCTGGGGGTACAAGACAAATGCATGAACCTCACACCAAACAGATCTGGCACGGATGTGGATAACATACAGGCCTAGGCCTACTATAATGTATAGTCATTGTACAGTCTCGACTCCTAACCCTAACAGTCAAACTAAACCCTCCCCATATGGACAGTGTGTGTGTGTGTGTTAGGATGTGTGACAATATTTGTCTGAGAATGCTTTCATTCATGAAATAAGTTAAGGCTAGGCAGTGAAACTGAAAAAGGCACGCTGTCCCTTTAAATCCAATTACACTGCATGAGGTCTTCACGAGACGAAAACAACATGACTTTTTCTTTTAGTAGTAGGGCTGCTCGATTATGGAAAAAATCATCACAACTATTTTGGTCAATATTTAAATCACGATTATTCAAACGATTATTTTTTAGATACACAATGCATTTATTCAGCATTTCTCTCTCAGAAAAAAAACAAAAAAACAAAAAACAAAAACACTTTGTTACTGATAATTTACGACAAACATTCAAATTGAAAATAAATATAGGCTACAAATATGTATATGTATAAAATATAAAATGAATAAACTATACTTTGAACATGAAATAAGGCATAGAAAAAAATAAATGTCTCCAAAATAAACTATACATCCAGATGTTCTACAATCTCTATATTTAAAAAATAAAATAAAATAAACTTTGTTAAGATTTACTCGTTTCAATTCGATGATATACATTTCGAGTTTGACACACACATCGCGATCAAAATTCAATTAATTGCGCAGCCTTATTTAGTAGGTCCATGGATCAGGCTTAAAAACATCTGTATTCTTCGTATGTAAAAGAAAGGATAAGATTGTACACTAATGACAGTAGTATTAGGGTGAACTTTGGTCTGGCGCGGCCTTTGATCCAGAGTCGCATCAGACGCTTCTGCCCTCACTCTCAGCCAATCAAAGGCGGCCTGCATGGCTGTATATTAACCTGTAATTTACAGCAACTCCTATATTATATGGCTCATATAGCATAAACGTATCCCTGCTGTATACCATGTAAAATAAACTAAATTTTTATTCACAATTTAAGCATTTCTGAGGTTCAAGAAAAACGTTCTGTCATTGGGATATTGTTCAACCCGACACAGACCAGTTACAGCTGGACCTTTCCTGGGACGCACGGATTCAGCAATTGAAGAAATCAAAAACATTTTCGGTAAAAGCGTTAAACACATCTGTCCCGCCTCACAAATACCCAGTTTTTCTCCCCCAGACTGAACTAGTATCAACCTGCCACATCTACACATCCAGATGCAGCCCAGTGCGCGCTCCAAAAAAAAAAAAAAAAAAAAAAAAAAAGAAAGAAAAAAACACATTCACTGCAGTTTACGCAACAAGAAACTCCAGGCGCTCGAAGCAAATAGCCAATACAGGCAAATACAAACACACTGTTGAGTTACTTACTGCACTGTGAGCTCCGGTGGTCCGCGAAAGGCTTCCCTGAAACGCTGCAGCAGCTAATTTGACCCGCAGGAGAAGCAGCTCTTCTCAGCCAACGGAGGAACAACCCACCGCGACCGGAGGTTCACCGTCACAATAAATGTACCCTTAACAAAGGGACGCGTTTTTCTGCAATATGTAGTCTTTGTGACATAAAATGGCAAAACATGAAAGATGCCAACATTACATCCCCAAAGAAACAAATGACAAAAACATCTTAATAGTTTTAAGTGTTAACACAGTTTTATTTCATCAGCAGCTTGAGCACTACATCCGTCAATGCGCTTACATTTTTTCCAACTTGATACAGAGGCTATAAATCATTAATAATTAGTGAAACTTTGTTGGAGGGTTTTTTCACGCGTTTACTGTAATATGGGCGGGAAAAAATGTAAGACTATATGAATTTCTGGCAGCTGAGCTTGTGTATGCTCAAACAGGCTACATTTAAAATATTTGCCAACTACATATTGGCCCAGCAGTAATTAATTAGGAAGAAGCTTCCATCTATAAAGCAATTTTGTGTCCATTGTGCACAATATAAAACACATACATACTTTAGATATAAATAAATAATATTATAGATTTGTTTGCTTCAGTGCTGTCCATAACATTGGTGAGAGTTACTGTCCTTAAATTATCTGATTTGTTTGAGTGGCCAGGAAAGCTATGACTTCAGGTACATCTAGTCAGTTTCAGGCAACATAAATGGCAACAAATATGTGTTTTGATTTTTTTGTATGCTTAGTTTTTTTTTGTTTTTTTTTTACAAAAGGTTAAACTGGGCAAAGGTAATCCATAACAGCATCTGTAGCTATTAGATACATCAGGTGCCCTCTCATCTTGCCAAAAATAAATAAAAAGACAGTTAAAAAATGCTTGCGATCCTGGAGCCATGCCACATGAAAATAGCTCATTATACAATATCGTATTATGGAAATCGTATTTGATCATTGGTAACAAAAATGTGTTACGTCGTTAAACACTTTTCCCGACAAACCAGCAGGATTCTTTAAAATTGTGGTTGACTGTTGCATCAAAGACCTCATGCACAGAGAAGTTGACAAGATACAGATTTACACTGAAGTGATCATGTTTGTTTCCTTGATATGGCACAAATGCACTGTTCCATGGGAGGATAAATGCTGCTTCTTTGAGAGTGCATTGCAGAATCTCTCACCAAGCTGTCCACTTCTTACAAGAAATAGTCAGGTGTTCTTCGCGTCACGTGAGGCTCTCCTCTGCGGGGTGCCGGGTCAAACTGTAGACTGAAAATAAACATTTCCCTTTTAGAGACTTGATGACACAATAATGACAATAATACTGATGTTGAGTAACTTATGAAATGCATACAAGGAGTATTTCAGTGTATCATCAAGTTCCATGATCGCAGCCTGGTTCCCACAGCGGTAACAATAGTTGGGTGCGCTGAAAATTGTAACAACATTACGGTCATGGCACCAGTTATAACCCTGTAACAACAAAGCAACAACAGGCTTTGAGAAAACCACTGCTGTAATGTGAAATTGAAATCAAAAGCACCCCAGATAGCAAAAAGTATTTGTGGCGGATCCACTTCAGATCCCGATGCTATCAGGGACTTTACCTCCATTACAAGCTGGTGGGCTCTAGATACCAGTGTCAGCCCATTTGCATGGTTAAAAGTCTCAGAGATGTCCTGTCCAAAAGTGTAGCCTGCACCTCGTGGTGAAATCCCCCAACCACCACGATCATCAGGATCTGACCATAACAGGTCACACATGGGTCCCTAAAATATATATATATATATATATATTAAATGATTAGTTTACGGAAGCATTTTTTATAATTTTGATAATGCTTATATTGCCAATTTAAATTATTGCAATGGCTTTGAATGATTAATATATATTTTATATCAATCCTTCAAATTAATCCTAAATCTTGAATTTGAAGTGTACCTCATGAGGAACCTCCTGCAGGCGATCCAATGCTCTGATGTGCTCAAGTGTGTCTATTGATGGAGAAAGGCCTCCGTGTAGACAGAAAATCTTAGGGAAGCGTAAACAAGGTTAAAATTCAGCTCACATTAAAAACTCATTAGGGTTATTGCAACTGCTTATTCTGTTTTACCTGGTTGTCTACCAGTGCAGTAAGGGGCAAGTAGTCAAATAGATCTGTGAAATATTTCCAAACATTGGCATTGCCATATTTCCTTAAGCACTCATCATAAAATCCATACACTTGTGTGATCTGCCTGCTTTCATGGTTTCCTCTGAGAATAGTGATTCGTTCCCGAAATCGAACCTAAATATAAAGAAATTAGTCACATCCTCTATCCAGGCTAACTGATATTGCACAAACCTGAGATATACAATATGTATTGTATGATCTATGGGCGTGTACCTTAAGAGAAACCAATAGTGTAACAGTTTCCACAGAATAATAGCCTCGATCAACATAGTCTCCCATGAAGAGGTAGTTAGTATCTGGAGATTTGCCTCCGATCTTAAAAAGCTCCATGAGGTCATGAAACTGTCCATGGACATCTCCACACACCGTCACTGGGCATCTCACCTCCTGCACGTTGGACTCCTGCGTGAGGATTTCTTTTGCCTGGGAAGAAAACAATGACTTGACAATTACAGGTGTGGCTCATGGTTATGTACGCACTGTCGTATGCTCCAATATAACATCTTGTTCAACATGTGAAAAGCCTATTCCTGTGGAAAGAGCATAGAGCCTGGAGTGGGCGTAGCTCAATCAAAATCTATTTGCAGGCTCCATCTTCTGGAGAGAGCAGTTCTTAGCAGTGTGCTGCGTGGTTCTGCGCTTAGGGATGCTATCCAAAACAGGGCCACACGTGAATTAGGCTACATGACGTTATTCCAAAGAAAAGAAACACGTTTGGACAAAAATATGACACCCTCACGCCTATTGTGATCCATTGTAATGACAAACAGAGCTAATTTCTTCACAAACCTACCTTTTCGCAGAGAACTTTGACCTGATTTTCAGATAGCTGTTTACACTCATTCAGTTGTTCAATCCAGGCGTCCAATTCCTTGTTAAATGTCTTGTCGTCCATGCTTAACTCAACAACCAGCTGCTAATAAACCCAAAGTAAATACTTAGTAGCGGTAATAGTCTGGATCCGCTACGTCCTATGGCAGTACATTCGCAGCTGTGTGTAGGCTATGCGTATGTGCGCCACAAAAAGACTGCGTCACACACGCGTCTTGTTGTCTTTTTTGGATTTTAGTTTTTATCACCTAGTACATAAGTAAATTAAAAATAAGGAAACAGAAAATAAACATTTATACTCTTTTCATTCTAAAAAAAAAAAAACACACAAAAAAACAAACAAACAAAAAAAAATATATTTTACTTTAGATTGGGTTTGAATCTTCTGGCATTTCCGACTTTTGCTTGTTCTTATTTAAACAAATACATAAATGGGAAAGAGCAAATAATCTACCTTAAAACAAACAAATGCATATTGTTATGATTATCCTGCTAAATAAAAAAGTGCGTTTCCTATTGGTTTAAGTGGTTGTGATTAATGCGCACGCGCCAGTTTCTGTCGGTCGGCTGTAGGAGAAAATGGCAGCGCTCATGCTAGGACAGCAGGTTTGACTTTTATTTTTCGTTGTTTACTTTATGTCTTCAATACATTGTGTAAAGAACATTTAATACTGAGGGTTTCCACTAATGTTAGGTTATTTTGAAGGAATGAAATAGTAAGGTTCGTAATATACACGAGGCTGTTGAATGACAGCTAACGTGTTAGCTCTCCGATTAGCTGTCCTCAACCTTGCAGAACATTGTGTGACTGCATTTATGAGATTGGTATAGAGATGCCTGAATTAATTCATAAAAACATCCACAAAGTGGAGGGCCACAGACTGAAGATAACGCAATCTGGCTGATCTTATCGAAGTCAGTTTTGACAACCATTTATCTCTCAAAGGTTACTGTTCTGAATCCTTCAAATGGATCCATTTGACATGTCAGCTTTGTTGTCTGTTCGTTTTTATTCAAGCTTTTTAGTTGCAGTATAATGTCAAATTTATTTCAGTTTTGGGTCTGCTCAGCAGGAAGCCCGAGGGCCGCATTTGGTCCCGGGCCTTGACCCATGGTCGGTGTTTTCTTCATTGATATTCACGCCCTTTCTTTTGCAGGTTCGCCAGTTAAGTACATCCGCAGTCAGACCAGTTGCGAAGCTGGTCAAGGTAGGTTTTTTTTTGTTTTTTTTTTTTTTTGTGTGTCATTAGTGAACTTCAATAGATGGCAACCAATGTCTTACCAATATCTTAACTTTTAGCCACCCATCCAAGTCTATGGTGTGGAAGGGCGCTATGCCACTGCTCTGTTCTCAGCTGCCAGCAAGCAGAAGAAACTGGACCAAGTAGAGCAGGAGCTTGGAAAAGTGCATGTAAGTTATAATGACCGAAAAGTTTAATTTCTTTATGATTTTAATTACTTGGCAAAAAAACATTTTTCTTATAGGCCTTGATTAAGGACCCAAAACTTTCCAGTGTGGTAATGAACCCTCATGTGAAGCGCAGCCTTAAACTGAAGACCTTTAATGATGCCCTAGCAAAGGCAAAAGTGTCACCAATCACATTGAACCTCATCAGTAAGTTGCATGTGATTGCTTTTGATCATCGCCAAGATTCAAATAAACTGTATGAAGCCTGTGCCCTTACTGTTTTGTTTTTTAAAAGGTTCTATAATCACTACTGAACCCATGTTGCCAGTGACTTAACCCACAAATAACAACATAGAGGCTGAGGCTGTTTTTTGATAGCTCTATTTTGCTGGTCAGCTGCATGCCTGTAACAAAAAGAATTCCCTCTTGGGAATGAATAAAAGTAATTCTGATCTCTGATACTGGCACGGATGAATGATTGGCTGCAGGTGCTGGGGTTTAGGTAGTGATGATTCAGAACAGAGAGCTCTCTTAGGTTTAACCTTTTTGAACTTTGAAACTCGAAATACAAATGAGAAACTCGTGTAAGGCTCATTCTGTTTTCTGCTCTTGAGAGCCTAAATTATAACATGAATAACTTGCCCATCATGTTCAATGTTTTAAAGTAACTAACAAATATAATGCTGACTTATTATCCCTAAATGCAATTTACCCTGTATCTGGAGACAGAAATGGGCCATGACTTCTGTTTATGAAATTTGAAATTAAAATCTTGCTTATTGTTCATTTTTAACAGTCTAATGTAAGAAAGTTGACTCACATGGCCCTTTAATAATGCCATGAAACCTGTGGTTTTGCTCATTATTTCTTCACACATTCCTGTGACTTCTAAATGTTAAACAATGTTATGTGTACTATGGTTTATAAGGTACATAATCACATTACTATAGACTAAAACTCTTGCACTTTTTTAAGATGTCCTGGCTGAAAATGGCCGTCTGACTCTGACTGAGGATGTCATCACTGCTTTTGGTAAAATGATGAGTGCACACCGTGGAGAGGTCATCTGCTCTGTCACAACTGCTAAGGTATATTAGAAAAGGCTTATAGATTATCTTCAGTATTGTTTATTATGCATGTTTAAAATGTTGTCATATTCTGTTTACAGCCCTTGGATGAAGCAAATCTCGCTGAACTGACAGTTGCCCTGAAAGGGTTTCTTCAGAAAGGTGAAACCATCAAGCTAGAAACAAAGGTGTTTAATCAGTCTTGATTATCTTGCAAAAGTTTGTGTCAATGTCTCTTTAAAATGCATTCTTGATGTAATCTTTCAATATTTTCTTTTTCAGTCTGATCCTGCAATCCTTGGGGGCATGATTGTCAGTATCGGAGACAAGTATGTGGACATGTCCACTAAAACAAAGATTCAGAAGTTGACAAAACTCATCCGGGAAACATAATTCCTTTTGGGTATTTTAATTTACAAAGTTGAGGATGGCCACCGTGATATTGCTTCCTGTTAAAGTAAGCATTTGAGTACAATGTATCTGTATAAAATCATATGGATGTTAATAAATAATACAAAAAATGGAACTCCTTATTGTCATTAACTTTATCACATTTGTAGACTTGTTTGCATTATGAAAAAGGTTGATCATTTTAAAGGTGCCACAAGACCTTTCTGGTGGAGAGTACCCTTTACTGATTTACTCTGAATGTTCCACAGTATGGCACTAAACTCATCTATCCCCATGAAGTGAAGTGAAATGAAGTACTCATTTTACTGGTCAGATCTGTGGAGAGGTGATTTTGTTAGCAAAGTTGCCAAAAGTGCTAATGCTGTGAGCATTAGTATACTGCGAGCTTTAATAATGTGTGCTACATACAGTGTATATGTTACATGTATGTGTGTTAAATGCCTTTTTGATTGTACATACATACTTTAAATATTTATACATTTTTTGGTGTGATCAGAAGGTGCACTGAAATTCAGAGGTATTTAAGGACTATTCAAGCCAATGTATAAGTAATATAGGGAGACATACAAAAAGGACTGAAGTAGGCCTATGCTAAAAGAACTGTTAGGGAAAATCCAGGCCTTTCTATGGCCACTAGAGGGGTTGAGCACTTTGTCAATAAGGCCTGTAGTAACACACGTGCTAACTATAGTTAAGGCGGAGTTTCTTCCACATATCAATAGATGTTTGCGATGTGTCGTTTTCCTGGATTTCTCTCGTGTGACAAATTATATTTTGGTATCAAATGATGCTTACTAGTGGAGAATATGTTGGTGTTTTATCTCTTAAATCCACGGGTCTAATCGAACCCTAAACCAGATAGGCCTATGCCTTGGAAGCGTCATTAAACAGTAACTGCTCATTTTGTTCTAAAGCGATACGTCTGTTGTTTTTAAATACTTCTGCGGTCCTTGTCAGTGAGCTATTGTCCTCTTTGGGTCACGCCAAATACTGAACATCCTAGCTTAAGCCAGGGTGCAGCTTACAAGAGGCCTATCGGTTGAAACATCGATAGTGATAAAAATCTGCTGGCCTGCCACAGAGCTGGGCTCCATTTGGCACTGCGTGCCTTTTCACTCGTGTCAAAATAGAGCTAGGAAGAATCAATATGGCGCACGGAGTGAGTCCGAAGCGGTCGTGCGTTTATCACTCACTTTGTTTCCTCGTTTTCTGTGTAATCTCTCCGGTCTTACTGATGGCCTAAACTCCCACGGCTGGGATAAAAGAACGTCACAACGACGCACTTATTCATGTATTATTACAGTGTTACAGACCATTGGCTATTATTGTGTATTATTATGGTGATTAGAAACTTCACCTGGACGTGCCTGTCCTTGTATGAACGGTCCTGTGTGTTTGCGTGCGTGCTCATGCGCGTGCCTGTGCGCGTGAGAGGAGGGTTAGTGTCACGGCCCTCTGCAGACGGGGGGTTGGGTAGCTGTGCCGATTGGTTGCTGCTCACCAACACAGTCAGTCTGGGCTTGTTTTAACATAACCGGGGGCACCTCGATAGAAACCAAAATAATGAAGTAAATAAGCTGCTAGACTGTCAGAAGATCGGTTATGACACACTGAATTTTGTCGCTGTTTGATATGCCAGCAAAATGGATTTTCTACTGCTTATTTGCTATTTAAGGTGACAGTTTTTCAGAGGGCCGCAGAGAATGAGAGCTGTGCCTTGGCCTACTAGAGCTGCTGCTGCAACTGGGATTGTACATATCGGCTTTCACAAATCGAGAAAAACACTCGCTTTGTGCTATAGTATTAGAAAGCCGCGCTGAGTTCATAGTGGCCGGCGTAAGAATGGTAAGTTTATCGCTGTTTCCACGTGTTGGTGCTGGGTGAACCTTTTGTGAGTTAAGTGTAGCTTCCTATGTCGATGTGTGTAAGCCTCTGTGTTTGTGTGATGGCCAGTGTCACCTCCTCCACCAAAGCCCAGCACTCCTCTGGTGTGTTCTAGTGGACAGTGATCGCCATGACCCACAATCAGAAGACAAAGAGGGACAATTTCTGACACTTTCTCACTGAAATGAGTCCAAGCCTGGCGCACCGGCTCTGTTGTGTTTTGTGCCTACTGGCCTATTGTAGGAAGGCCAGCCATACAATGTCGGCTTATTTGTGTATGACGCAAGTAATGCTACGCCGGTTTTTTTCTTGTAGTTTATTAACAGGAAATAATCACTGCGTCATATCCACTCTCAGGCCATAGGTTACCTTTATGGTCAGTTAGTAATAAACCTGTAACTAAGTATTTCATGATGTAATGTGCCTTTTCTTCTCTTTATAGGACAGAAACATGACAACATGAATCAGTCTTACAGACCGGCTTTTAGGGCAGGCTCGGTCTTTGGCCCTGGCCAGCCCGAGTTGAGGCCCCACAATGGGCTAATGAGCACTTCCTATGGAAACCAGTACAACATTGTGAAGCGTGGGTCTGACCAACAGACAGGACAACTGCCCTCTTCAAGCCTCAAGCATCCATCTGTACTGGGCTACAATCAGTTCAGCAGTTCCCACTGCTACAGTCCTCTGAGGCTGCCAGATCTGAACCCTGTGGTCACCAGGACAGACCTGCAACACAAAAACAAACTGCACTGTGCCAGCCCCATCAGTGACGGCGATGAGTTTGAGGCACCCTCTGTACAGCTGCCTCCATCTCCAGACATCCAGGACCTCGAATCCTTTGAGAGCCTACAGGATGTACAGAGAAATGTTTTTTCAGACAGTCCCCACAGCTTGGAGCGTTGCTCTCCCATCTCCAGTGGATTCCTACATTTTGAGTCTACACTCTTTGACAGCAGTGACTTTAAGGAAGATGAGTTGGGAGAACACAGCAGTAATGAGGACTTCATACCTTTCAGGTTTTCTCCAAAGTTGTCTGAGGAGCGTCCTGTTAGTGACTCAAGGAACGCATGCAACTCTGGTGCTGATAAACGAACATTCAAACCTATTTTTAACCTCATGTCCAAAACTATATCTGAACTGAACCCCACATTAAGCCCCAGTGCATTGCCTGAAATCATCATCAGAGATGAATGGAGTGTGGGGAAAGAGTCTGCCACAGGAGAAGAAAGCTCTCCGCCACTGGATAGCCAGGCGTCTTTATCAAGAACAAATTCAAATGTAATCAAACATTGAATTTTATTGTTTGTTTTATTTTGACAGAAATTTTAATTATCAATCTTAATAGTAGCATGTAATAGAAATTATATTTAATTGTTTTTTTATCCTTTGATCAGCCCAACAGCCTCCAAAAAGAGTTATTTCCTTCAAGCAAGTTATTGGAGGGAGATGTCGTGTGGGCAAAGTTCAATAAAAGGCCCTGGTGGCCCAGCCAAATAATCTGTCATCCCATCCAGAGAGTCCACACCAAGATGAAGGGTATGTCTACTCTTTAAAAACTAAGAGATATGCAGATTCTGTTTGCTGTATTTGTGAACTATTAAAACATACATATTTACAAATACGTGTTTCTTAACTGTTAACAGTTCCCAGTCCTCGTCCTTGTAGAATGTACTATCTACAGACAATTGGAGAAGTTGTAGAATGTGCGTGGATCCCGGAGACTGTTGTTATTCCTTTTGAAAGTGGTCATCAGTTGAAGACAATCTGGTTGTCAAAAGAAGAGGAAAGCAAAAAGAGAAAGACTACAAGTATAAGGTAGATTTAACACAGTCTTATAATTTAAAGAAACTACTGAATCTTACTGTGTTTTATTTGGCCATTGCAGATACCCAAAATCTATCAAAGTGCTTGGGAAACCAGTGTGTCTAAAGCTGAGGAACTGTTTCATGGTGGAAAACAACACATTGAAAGTGTCCGACCAACATCTCCAAATGGTGAAACCTCCTCTCCCAGTCCTGAACTACAATCAGTTGAGCAGCGCTTATCCCATGACCATACACTCTCACCTGGCCTTGCTGAATATAGAGAAAATAAAAGGCATCACAATAAGTATCCTTTACAAAATGGAATAAAAACCAATGTTGTTAAAAGGAAAAAGAAATGCCTGTCAGATATTTTTGGGCATATTGTTGGTGGGTTGAAGGACCAGCAATTTTTAACAGCTTGTGCACTGAAAGATGAGGACTCCCCATACGCTGACCTGGATTCTGTCCCAATTCTGCACCGTCCAAAACGTACAGCGCTGTCCCAAGAGCACGAGGAAGAACTCTCTTTGGTTAATCAGAATGCCCCAGCAAAAAATACAGAGAAAAACTCCAAAAATTCTATTGACTCCTCAAATATTTCAAGTTCTTTGCTAATGGCACACGCTGAACAGACACCTGGCAGTTTGGATGTAACCTCTACATCAAAACATCTGCGCAGTTTTCCAGCTAGTAGCCGTTTAATGACAAAGGCATTGAAGGCAGAAGGAGACACAGATCTTGGTTCACTGACAACCAAATTCACCTCAGCAGAAGTCCACACTGAACATCACGCAAATGAATCAACTACTGATGCTTCAATCACCAGTGAAACTTCTCCTGTTAACATATCCTATTCCAATACTACTAACCCCGTAAAAAGGAGGGCAAGAAAGCCAGACAAGAAAAATGTTCACAATGGTTTATGCAAAGAATCAAAGACTTACGATTGCACTAATGAATCGATTGCCAATGTCGAAGTTAAGGCCGAAAACATTTCCTCAGATATATCCGCATCTCCACCACAGTCACCAATGGAGGCATTTCAAAATGTCAAGGAGCTTAAGTTTAAATCCATTACAAAGGAAGAAGAAAAGGATTCAGATGAGAGCGCGTTTCGACCAGAACCCAATTACCAGTTCAGTACTTTCCTAATGCTTCTTAAAGACATGCATGACACCAGGGAAAAGGAGGGGAAGCCACTATATCTCCCAACATCTCCAGTTCTCATCAAAGAAGAACCCATGACAATACCCACAACTCCAGTGAAAAGTCCCTGCGAAATTTCCACACAAAATGCATTTACTACTGGAATCAAAACAGAAAATGACCAGTCTTCATCAAATAAGAATAACTGTATTGTGAAAACTGATGCAGGTATGAGTGAAGATGTTCCCATTCATTCAGAAGTTACAGAAAAACAGCGCAGAAAACAAAGGCTGCCTGCTAAGCTGAAAGTCAGCATACCTCGTCTGTCCTCGCATCTTACAAACTTGGCGTATGGGATACGGTTGAACAAGAGTCCATCACAATTTAGAGAAGAGACATCAGGTATTCAGTGCAAAACATCAGTGCCAGAAGAGGAAAGGTCAAAGGGCAATAGTCACGAAGAGGTCACAGGACAGCCTAAAGTAAATGGGTCATGTACCGATTTGGATGTAGAAAATAGTGCCCTGATAGACACAAAATGCTTGGACACAAGACTATCTGGTAAACTGAAAAACAGATAAACTGAATTGACTAAATGAAGAAGCATTTAATAGATTTTTTATGTTTTTCCAGGACCATCAAACAAGCACCAGAGAAAACCCACGAAAAGGCTAATGGTATCTCCTGAAGAGTGCAAACAAATGAATGAATCAAAAAAGAAATCAAGAAGGAAATTATTAGAGGTAACCCAGTCAGTTTGACACTATGATAAATAGGTAAAAGTATTAAAGATGAAACAATAGAAGAGACTGGGTCAATAAGAATGAGTTGATGAATTTGAATTTGTGATATGTAATTTGTGATTCAGTTCCTAATCTTGTCCTTATAACTTTTGACATATTCAATTTAATATTTTTCTGTCATTATAGATAGTCTCAATCATTTTCCATATGTGTGCACAATCCAGTGGGAACTTTATCTTGCAAGATCTTGTGGCTCCAAGTCTTTTCCCAGTCCTAATAAGTATAGATTTAAAACAATATTAAAATATATAAATCTCTGTTTTAGAACTCAAAAATCTCCATGCCTTCTGCTCCTGTGCGAGATAAAAACAACTTCAGGAAGAACCTCCCTACACAAAAAAGTGTGGGCTCTCAGTTAAAACACAACCCTCTGTTGATACAAAGATGGCAGCTGAAAACGATCTACCTCCTGAATCTGGTAATGACGAATATATTAAAGGTACATTGTGTAACTTTTCTTGTAGAGGGTCCATGAAATGCTTTTCTCAATGAGATTTGTTATTGCTTTGTCTTGAGTGTTTCACTGTATGGCATTGAACCTTTCTATCTTCATGGAAACCAAACCAGACCAAGTTACAGGTCTGTGGAGAGGCAATCCCACTCACAGTCAGAATGCGTTTTTCTAGGTATTTTGGAGCCGTAAAACCACCTGTAATTTAATAAATGTAAGGTAAAACTGTTAAATGTCATACTGTGGAGCATTCCAGGCAGAGCAATGACGTGTCTATAGAAACAAGCAGGTGATGGACCTCCACCTAAAATGTTGCATAGCGTACCTTTAATGCTATAGAGCAGAGATAATTTTTTTCTAAGCTTTCAATTTATGTTTTGACACAGGGTCTGCACTGCTACAGAGAAAGAGGCCGAGGAAAGTTTCACACCAGGTGCTTGAATGTACCATAGAAGAAGTGTCTCTTGCTTCAGCAAAAAGACTGGTATGTTCAGGCTTCAGACTATTTTAAAATTAGTGATGCATAAGATATGATCTTAGGTTCTTTTCTTAAGAAACTGACAAAAATGTATCAATGTCACCTCACAGTTGAAAAAGACAAAATCATAGAGATAATTAGTATGTCAAAGGTGTAACCAAAGGGTGCTTCTTGTAAACGTAGTGTGTTTATCCTATTATTACCTCTGCCAAGGAGGTTATGTTTTTGCCGGCGTTTGTCTGTTTGTTTGTTTGTTTGTTTAGCAACATAACTCAAAATGTTATGGACCGATTTTGATGAAATTTTCAGGATTTGTTGGAAATGTGAAAAGGAAGAACTGACTTCATTTTGGGGGTGATCCAGAAGAAATCCTGGATTCTGGATCACTTTGAAATTTTAGTTAACATTGTGGTAAATGGGGCCAAAAATTTTGTTTCTCAATATCTCGGTTAATTATTGACCAAACCCCATGAAATTTGACTCAGGGATGGACAATGGGATCCTCTTTCATATTCCAAAGGCTGATCCGGATCTGATCCAGAAGACTGATTTTATCGCAATTTATATAAAAAATGGGGGTAATCCTTGGCGGAGGTCTGCGCTCTCTGAGTGCTTTTCTAGTTATTTATTATTTATATAGCGCATGTAAAATAAATACCTATATCTATAACGATATTTATTTTATAATGAAATATGATGCCTTGTATAATTGTATATACATAAAACATATCCTATTTTGTCTGTAGGTTAGGACTGTGAAAAGGGAAGCGTCTTTGCCTAAAACACCCCAAAAATCAAAGACTGAGGAGAAGAGCACTGTACAGGACCGTCCCTCCAGCCCCAGATCAAAACCTCTGAAACTGAAGTCAGAGACAGAGACAGCCAGCACTGAAGAAAGAATAACTATTACCTCTGATTCAAACCCCAAAGATGAGGTTTGCCTTGTACTCTGACTATGCTGGACAGATATTACTGTTTAGTGAGTGTTCATGTTGAAAATGAATGAATTTTGACAGGTGTTGAACGACAGTCCGTCCTCTCAGGTAGATGGAAAAGGAAAAGTAGGAGGTGCAGCTTTAAAAGAAAATGTGTGTCAGGTAAGCAGGTATTTTGCTATTAGATCATTACTTGTTCATTTACTAGTTACAACTGTATTTAATAATTTATGCTTTTGCAGATTTGTGAGAAGCCTGGAGACCTGCTGTATTGTGATGCCCACTGTTACGGAGGCTTTCATCTCCAATGTATTGGGCTGTCAGCTGCACCCAAAGATACATTTGTTTGTGGGGAATGCAAAACTGGTAAGTAGTGTAATATATGTCAAAAAGAAAAATACAAAAAGTATGTGAAATTTTTTAAGTAATGCAATTTTCACCTCTATCAGGAGCCCACACTTGCTTTGCATGTAAAAAGTCCGGTGATGGGGTAAAAAGGTGCATGATACCGCTGTGTGGGAAGTTCTACCACTCGGACTGTATAATGGCCTTCTCCGCAACACAGCCCAATAACAAAGGCATCCGCTGCCCTCTTCATGTCTGTCTGTCCTGCCACATCACCAACCCCCTCAACCTCTGCAACTCTAAAGGTAGGCATTCTCATTGTTTTCTGATCTATGTTATAATGTTGTTCAATCATCAAAACCATACCTAGGGTTGTGTTTTGTTTCATTCAAACATGTAACACACAAACCCTGCATATTTAGTTCTTCTCTCAAACAGAACCTTCTAATGTCATGTGGAAGTATGGGTTGTGGTTCACTGTGTTTTTGAACTCCACAGACCTTCATTAGAATCATTTGGCTGATTTCAGCCCTGGAGTTTCCAATCTCTACTGAACAAAATGTGGCTGTTAACTTGAAAACTTCAGCTTCATGACATCACAAGGTGGAACAGAGCATATTTAGATTTGAAGATGTACACAGACTAATAATAAATTGTTACTCAAACATATAAATGAAACAAAATAAAACTCCAGGCATGTTTTTGATGAGGGAACAGCCTTATAACATGTTTTAAACACAGCATTATAACACAGTTTAAACTCAATAGTAAATTTTGTATATTATAGGACCCTTACATTTTTATTACATAAACAAACCTTGGAAATTAAAACAGCAAATTCATTAGGTCAAGAAATGACTATATTATATCAATTGAACTGAACTTTAAAAACATTGTTAATACTGTGTTTTATAGTATAAGGCTTGTACTTATGCATAGTGATATTTTTATTGCACTTTTTGTCTTCCAGGTCGATTACTAAAATGCGTTCGTTGCCCTGTGGCCTATCACGCCAATGACAACTGTATGGCTGCTGGCAGCTTAATGTTGGCAAACAACAGCTTCCTCTGTCCAAACCATTTCACTCCTCGAAAAGGCTACAAGAACCATGAACACATCAACGTGAGCTGGTGTTTTGTCTGCTCTGAAGGTCAGTTTTCAGAAATATGTTGGTTTCAGTTTAGTTACATAATTTCACATGTAGTATTAGTTTTTAAAAGTATCTCTAATTTGAGCGCATTGGCTGTGGTTCTGTAGGAGGCAGTCTTCTGTGCTGTGAATCCTGTCCTGCTGCTTTTCACCAAGAGTGTTTGAATATTGAAATGCCCCAAGGCAGCTGGTTCTGCAATGACTGTAAAGCAGGAAAAAGACCCAGAATAAAAGACATACTGTGGGTGAAATGGGGACGCTACAGGTAAGAGCAATTGGGCTCCTTGTTCTTACATTCACTGAGATCTCAAATCTCCAGTCAGAAACCTAATTTTATAACTTTTAGATGGTGGCCCGCTGAAGTCACAAAAGACGTTCCAAACAACATAGTAAGAATGAAGCATGATGTTGGAGAGTTCCCAGTGCAGTTCTTTGGCTCAAGAGACTATGTGTGGACATATCAGGCACGGGTTTTCCCTTACATGGAGGGGGACACTCATAACATTGAGAAAATGGCCAAGGGGGCTGATGCTGTTTACAAATCTGGTATGTTTCTCAGTCTATTGATCTGTTATTTTGTATTTCTGTTGGGAATAGAAAAAAAAAATGCATCTGTTTTCAGCCCTTACAGAAGCAGCCGAAAGATTCAGAGAACTTCAAACTGAAAAAGAAATGAAACAGCTACAGGAGGACAGAAAGAATGACAAGAAACCACCACCGTATAAGCTAATAAAGGTATATATATATATATATATATATATATATATATATATATATATATATATATATATATATATATTTTTTTTTTTTTTTTTTTTTATTATTTATTTATTTTTGTATTATTAACAATATCATTAGTGAATCAATAATATTATGTTTTATGTTCATTGCTTAGGTTAACAAGCCAATTGGTAAAGTCCAAATCATCACAGCAGATCTGTCAGAAATACCGCGCTGTAATTGCAAAGCTTCAGATGAGAATCCGTGCGGGCCAGACTCGGAGTGTATCAACCGGATGCTGTTGTATGAATGCCACCCTCAGGTCTGTGCTGCAGGAGAAAAGTGCCAAAATCAGGCTTTCACTAAACGTGAATACACACAAGTGGAAATATTCAGGACACTTTCTCGTGGCTGGGGTTTGCGTGCTGTGTCAGACATTAAAAAGGTATGTTAAAATGTGCAAAAGACGTTTGTTTATATCATATTTTAAGCTGTAGTAGTTCAATCTTTTTATTCTATGATAGGGCGCTTTTGTGAGTGAATACGTTGGAGAGATGATAGATGAAGAAGAGTGCCGGGCGCGGATCAGGCACGCCCAAGAGAATGACATCTGCAATTTTTACATGCTTACACTGGACAAGGCAATTTTGATGTTCCTGAATGGCATGTGACTGTATGCAACTGAAAATACTAGTAACTGATGCAAATTACCTTTTTGTTGCCAGGATCGAATCATTGATGCAGGGCCTAAAGGAAATGAGGCTCGTTTCATGAACCACAGCTGTCAGCCAAACTGTGAGACTCAGAAATGGACTGTGAATGGGGACACAAGGGTCGGATTGTTTGCACTTCAAGATGTTCCAAAAGGTACGGCTTTATGTTTATTGCACAGAATCATTGTTTCAATACAGGGGATGTTTCTACTTTTGTGGAGGCTCAATACAAGTTGTGTGTTTGAGCTTATTTCATAAAACGGAGAGATTTGTATTCCACAGTCAATTTCTTTAGCAACTGTGAGACGAGCCAGGTAGTAATGCTTATGTAGGTTATTATGTGGAAAATATGCATTTCATATGTAATATCTCTCTTCAGTAAAGCAGAGTGATAGTTGTTTAAAGCCATGTTTCTCAAAAAGGAATTCAGGGACTGGGAATGATTTCACATTTAAAAGAAATTTGGAATCAAGTATTCGAATATAGGTTCTCTGTAGTAAGGACAGAATTGGGACAAGACATTTTGGGAATTTCTGATTTAAGTATAGTTTAATTTCACAAGCTTTGTTATGCATGTGTAATTAATCAGTATAAAGAATGGCTATCAATATAAATTATTGGCATCCAATTTTGGGTGCTCCCCCTAGTGGCTGGTGGGGCCCAGTGCATGTAAACGTACTACTTGTGCAAGAAAACTGAACTGATTCAGTTTATTCATGAAAACAGTGTGCTGTGTGTATTACAGGTGTGGAATTGACTTTTAACTACAACTTGGAATGTCTTGGCAATGGAAAAACTGTCTGTAAATGTGGAGCACCAAACTGCAGTGGTTTCTTAGGCGTTCGACCGAAGGTAAATGAAATTTCATTTTTAATAGTTATTTGAATGACTTACAATATATTAATATTGTGTTATTATTCATGCATAGAACCAGCCATCAGCTGAGAAAGTCAAACTAAAAGAAGGGAAAAAGAGGGTGTACATGAAGAAGAAGAAGAAGAAGCAGGAAGTGAAGAAAGAGAGAGAAGATGACTGCTTCAGCTGTGGCGATGGAGGGCAGCTCGTGTCCTGTAAGAAACCAGGCTGTCCCAAAGTCTACCATGCAGACTGTCTCAACCTGGCCAAGAGACCTGCAGGCAAGTGCACACTGTATATATGTAATATATATATTATTTACTAGTATGTACATATGTATAGTATATGAAAGTTTCAAGTCTGTGAAACGGTGACCCAGCTCACATTAAGAATGCAAGTTTTTCCTTGGTATTTTTAAGCAATAAAATACTTTTTAAATTTGAGAATGTAAGATCAATAAGTTTAATGCCACGGTGTGGAACACTCAAGGGAAAGCAATATCATTTCCACAAAGATAAGCAGGTGGCAGACCCTGCACCAGAAACATAGTGCACTGTTTAAGCTTATATCAATTCCATCCATTTGCTCTAGTTAAAAATATCTAACAACAATATAAATACATTAAAACTATATCTTGTTTTAGGGCGCTGGGAATGTCCTTGGCATCAGTGTGACATCTGTGGCAAAGAAGCCTCCTCATACTGTGAAATGTGCCCCACCTCATACTGTAAACAGCACTGTGAAGGGATGCTCTTCATCTCCAAACTGGACGGGAAGCTGTCCTGCAGTGAACACGACCCCTGTGGGCCCGATCCACTCGAGCCAGGGGAAATACGCGAGTACTCCCCAAACACAAACTCTCAGAAACCCAGGTCTATAAATGCACCCCACAAGTCCTCAGCTGTTCCAAACTTGAAAAAAGCAACATGCTCTACCCCCATCTTATCTGTCCAAGCAAAGCACGAACCTCCACCGCGGCTTTACATCAACACAAAAACAGCTACCTCCAGCTTTGTTCCCAGCAGTAGGACCTACCTCACAGACAGGACTGAGGGATTTTCTAGCTCATCCTCCTCGAGAGACAAAGAAGACGGAGAGGTGGAAGATGGAGAGGTGTGTAGTATTGAAGTTGGGGAGATTGAGGATGATGATGATGATGATGATGAAGATGATGATGATGAAGATGAAGATGACTCAGAGGAGGAGGAGATGGAGATTGTAGTGGAAGAAGGGGATGAGCCAGTATTTGGAAGTGACTTGGAACAGAGTGAAGGAGCGTTCCACACTTGGGCTATTGAGGATGAGGAAGATGAAAAGGATGAAGATAATGATCATGATGATGATGATGATGATGATGTTAATGTTGAGGAGGATGAAGAGATGGAGGTCTGGGAGTCAAACGAAGAAGCTGATAGTTGACAGGTGTAGAGAGTAAGGACTGGTGGAAATGGCAAATGTGTACTGTTACAAATTGTGAAACAATGCACTATTCTTAAAAAACAAAAAAACTAAATAATAAATAATTATTGGGGACAGCCCAGAGACAAGACAGAGAATCAGATATAACACTAAAACTGATAAGCATACTGTTAAATCTGGCAATGTTTAATGCAGCTGACTCTATAATTGTAATTCTAAAGGTTTAGAGTCAACAGTTAGCCTAATAGATTTTCCATAAATTATTCTCAATTACAAAAAAAAAAAAAAAATTAAAAACATTCAAATTACCTCAAAGATTGACTGTATTGGAGCATGAGTAATTTCTTGTTCCATCTCTGACAGAGCAATGTTGTATAATAAAAAGAACTTCATATTTGGGTGCTCCTCATCTTGACTTCACAATCTCACTGCCTTCTCAACCCAATGCTGCAGGACTCACACTGGGGTTGTATTCTGGTGCTAATCGTCTCTTTGTACTTGTGTAAACGTGTTTATTTGTGTTTTGTGCTGTTATGTTTACTGCTCTTTCTCACAATATTGTTTACATTTTTTAGCTTTTTAAATTGAGTATAAAAAGTTTAAAAGTTTGTTCAGATCGAACTCTCGTGTCTTTGTGTCTCATGTTTTTGTTCTCCTCATAATGTTATTTTTATTAATGGTTTGATATATACAGCTATACCAAATAAGCCATGCAAAAATGCTGGAGGTTGGAGAAACACTTAAAAATGTTGAAACAGACAGAAAAACTAGCGGAAATGTCAATTCAGAGTACTCAAAAAGCTAGTTGAAGACATATTCTGCATTAGTAGTCAGGGAGCCAAAGTCTCAAAAGCTCTAGAAAATGGGTTGAACCTGACATCGCCTGCCATACTTTTTATTTGTGTTTTTTTTGTTAACTGTGACCCTGAGGACCAATAATTGGAGGGTCTGCTCTTCCGGAAATATCGCGGAAAAAAAATTGTAGCCATTTTAGTGTAGGTAACTACACAATGCTCTTTCGTAGGTAACCTTCATTTTGTGATAGAAAATTTTGAAAAATGAAAAATTTCCTCAAATCCTCAGCGGATTGGGTAAGCTGTCTACAAATACATTCCAGATGCAAAGAACACATGTGGTGACAACATTCAGTGAAAAAAATATTCATAAAACACATTTCTACATGATTTTGGCTCAATTTAATGCCAAAAAATAAGGCATTTTTTCCACTTTTTTCCAATATTTTCATCTTTACCTCATTGGCAATCAACTATTCCCCCAAGTTTTGACATCGGCCAATATGCCATTCTTTTCTTCAAACAGTATAGTCATTCCACAGAATAAAATATAAAAATCCAACCAAAATCAATGGATCTGTGATGATTTCTTTACCATCAACAGGGAAGAGAAACAGTTTGAACAGAGGTTTGAGTCACACACATCTGATTCACTTTTGCATTTATGGAGTTCGCAAACAAATTTCTCGAGTCGTTTTCCGCTGTTAGGATCCAACAACCACACAATTAACGATACTGAATCACAAAACTAAAATATGACAATATCAGAACCAGAAATAAAAGTGATATGGTTCAAAAGACTTGAAAAGATCCACTTTGACAATAGACACATCCCACTGGGAAAACAAACATGGAGATTTGATGCTCACTTTTTTGGAAAATCCTTCCCAGTATGGATTGCACAATGACCGGAAGTCTGAGATTCTTGATGCATCTATAGGACGCCCAACAAAAACTTTGGCGTAGCCAAACCAAATTTGGTACACAGATGCACCATGGGAATAGGGACAAAAAAATTATATTAACAGGAAGTCGGCCATATCGGACTGATCGTGCGACTCGGCGCCAAAGGCGCATTTTCTTGTCCTGATATTTGAATGAACTCGTCCTAAGGCATTTGACCCAGACTCACTAGAATCATTCTGTATCATCTAGACGAGTGAGACATTAAAAGTTGTTTAAAGCTTTTTAAAACAGTGTTGCTGTGGCAACTGTGCAAATTTCGGGTTCGTTTTTGCAGCTCGCCATCAAACTTCGATGCGTGATAATTCGCACAAACTTTGGCCAAGTTCACTCAAACTTTAATTGTTGGTGGACACTCCGACCCTGAACAGATATATAAGAAAATCTAAACTGGACGCAATAGCGCCCCCTAGGGAGGTTGTATGGAACAATAAAATATTACTTTGTCGTAGGCATGTAAAATTTGGTACACACATTCGTGGCCTGGTTTTAAAGAAAAAAGTCAATGACGCCCACACTCCATCTCCCATCGTGTTGCCATGGCAACTGGCCAAAAATCTGTCTTCACCAAAGGGACGTCCCAACAAAAACTTTGATGTACTCAAACCAAATTTAGTACACAGATGTATCATGGGAATAGGAACAATAGAGTATATTGTGACCACGCTCTCTCCCAAACCGGAAGTCCACCATCTTGGATTAAAAAAAAAATAAAAATCAACACATACAGAAATTGAGAAAAATAGTAGGGTTCGGTTAAGATCAGGGGTTAGGGTTAGGTTAGGGGTAAGGTTAGGCTAGGGTTAGGGCTATGGTTAGAAGTTCACATAGGTTTAGGCAAGGCAAGGCAAGTTTATTTGTATAGCACAATTGGTACACAGTAATTCAAAGTGCTTTACAGAATAAGAAATACATTAAAATCATAATAAAAACAAATCAAATCATAAATAATCATGAATATTAAACTTAAAAAAGAGAGACATAAATTGGAGAGAAGAGTGCGGAATGAAAACCTTTCAGTTATATGCACAGTCAAACAGAAATGTTTTGAGCCTGGATTTAAACCGCGTCACAGAAGAGCCTGTCTCACATGTTCAGACTGTTCCAGGTTTTAGCTGCATGAACCTGAAACGCTGACTCCCCTTGTTTAGTTCTGACTCTGGGCACCAGCAGGAGGCCGGTCCCTGAGCTCCTCAGAGTGCGAGATGGTTCATATGACACTAACATGTCACAGATGGACTTTGGTGCTCGACCATGGAGAGACTTGTACACAAGCAGAGCTGCTTTAAAGTCTATTCTCTGAGCCACAGGAAGCCAGTGCAGAGACCTGAGCACAGGACTTATGTGCTTGTACTTCCTAGTTCGAGTAAGGACCCGAGTTGCAGTGTTCTGGATGTTCTGCAGCTGTCTCACAGCTCGTTTGGAGAGACCAGTGAGGAGACCATTACAGTAGTCTAATCTACTGGAGACAAACACATGGATAAGTTTCTCCAAGTCTGCTTTAGACAGTAAACCTTTGATTTTTGCTATGTTTTTTAGATGGTAAAAGGCTGCAGATGTTATTGATTTGATTGGCTGTTAAAGTTCAAGTCTGAGTCCATTATTACCCCTAGATTTCTTGCCTGATTTGAAGGTTTTAGAGAGAGAGACTGGAGGTGACTGCTGACACTGTCTCTTTGTTTCTGTGGACCAAACACTATGACTTCAGTCATAGGTTTAGGGGTTAGTGTTAATTTAGAAGTTAGATCAATGAGTAAGGTGCATTCGTGGGGCATGTGCAGACCTCAACGTGGCCGGGGTGCGGCGTGGCATGGGCGTGGCATAGGCTCGAACGAGGGCCGGTCATTGCCGCTTGCGGCTGTATTTATTATTATTATTATTATTATTATTATTATTATTATTATTATTATTATTATTATTTTTTATTTAAAAGATGCCTAGGCCATGATGTTTAATAATGTGGACATTAACAACCATGCTAAATATCCAGTGTGCCTTATGGAATGTTGAAAGTAGCCTAACATTCTATTGAGGTTCTGGTTGATGGTAAAGAAATCATCACAGATCCATTGATTTTGGTTGGATTTTTATATTTTTTTTTCTGTGGAATGACTATACTGTTTGAAGAAAAGAATGGCATATTGGCTGATGTCAAAACTTGGGGGAATAGTTGATTGCCAATGAGGTAAAGATGAAAATATTGGAAAAAAGTGAAAAAATACCTTATCTTTTGGCATTAAATTGAGCCAAAATCATGTAGAAATGTGTTTAATGAATATTTTTTTCACTGAATGTTGTCACCACATGTGTTCTTTGCATCTGGAATGTATTTGTAGACAGCTTACCCAATCCACTGAGGATTTGAGGAAATTTTTCATTTTTCAAAATTTTCTATCACAAAATGAAGGTTACCTACACTAAAATGTCCACAATTTTTTTTCGCGATATTTCTGGAAGAGCAGACCCTCCAATTATTGGTCCTCAGGGTCACAGTTAACAAAAAAAAAAAAAAAAAAACACAAATAAAAAGTATGGCAGGCAATGTCGGGTTCAACCCATTTTTGAGACTTTGGCTCCCCGACTATAGAGGGCGCACTTGGATATATACGACAGAAGATGAACCGGACGTGACGTTCTGCTACGAAAGTAAAATGGCGACTTAAACAATATGACGCACTGGATGTTAAAAACAACCCAAGATTTTACGTTTTAAACTGTTATTTCTTCTCTACGCTGGAAGAAGGTAGTTATTGAATACGTATTTTGCCTTCACCTGAAAAGTAGTTAAATATTGAATCTATAGGTTTTGAAGGAATAAGCTTCACTTGGTAAAGCGAATCAACATATAGTTAAACGCGGTGCGTTTAATTCTACTCTTAACAATTTTCTTTTATCCAAGTTTTTAACCTCAACGTTTGTGATGGATCAAGGGGCAAACATGACTGAAGAAACTAATACAAATTCTGAGGGCATCGTGGGCTTGGACGAGCCCAAGAAAATGACCCGAGAAGACTGGAGAAAGAAGAAGGAACTCGAAGAGCAGAGAAAACTAGGAAACGCTCCTGCTGAAGTGGATGAAGAGGGAAAGTAAGCTACAGCCCAAAGAAACAATGCAGTTCGAAATATCGTATAATGTGAATATAAATTATATCCATTTACATTTTAGGGATATAAACCCTCACATCCCACAGTACATTTCATCAGTGCCATGGTACATTGATCCATCAAAAAGACCAACACTGAAACATCAGAGGCCGCAGGCTGAGAAACAACAACAATTTTCTACCATTGGAGAGTGGTACAAGAGAGGTGTACAAGAGGTGTGCAAATAGATTAAAGCACTAAACATCAAAGTTTGAAAGTGTGTGGCTGTCATTCTACCCTCTATAACACAGCTCTGTGTTGATTTTAGAATTATGTTGTCACCAAATTCAGAAAAGGAGCATGTGAAAACTGTGGTGCAATGACTCACAAGAAAAAAGACTGTATGGAGGTAAGAGGACAAAACATGATTATTAATTTTCCTTGGTTTTCCGATGCCTGTTAACTTCTGTTTTGTATAGCGTCCAAGAAAAGTTGGTGCAAAGTTCACAGGAACAGACATTGCTCCAGATGAACACGGTCAAGTAAATCTGGACTTGGATTACGATGGAAAACGAGATCGCTGGAATGGCTATGATCCTGAAGAGCACCAGCGTATTGTTGAAGAATATGCCAAAGTTGATCTGGTATAAGTCAGATCTTTACTGATTGTGCTACACACTTAAATTTTCTCAGTTTTCTTGCCTTAATTTATAGTGTAATGTTTTTGTTTGTTTTTTTATTCTAGGCCAAAAGAACACTTAAAGCCCATAAGCTCCAAGATGAGCTTGCATCAGGAAAACTTGATCAAAATGTAAGTTGCCTTGATAAAAGATAAAAGATCTGTTGTCTTCAAGAGCAACAAAACACATGTTTTTTTCTTTTAGGAACGTGAACATGACAGTGAAGGGGAGGATGAAGACAAATATGCAGATGACATTGATATGCCTGGTCAAAACTTTGACTCAAAGCGCAGAATTACTGTCAGGAATCTGCGTATCAGAGAAGACACAGCTAAAGTAAGAATTGTGCTTGAGTGAAATACTGCTGAGGTAAAAAATTATATCACACAGATATTATAATGCTTTTTTTTTTGTCTCTCTAGTACTTGAGAAATCTGGATCCAAACTCTGCCTACTATGATCCTAAGACTCGATCTATGAGGGAAAATCCTTACTCCAACACAGGCATGAACCCAGACGAGTAAGATAGAATTTGATCTCTTATATTATGGATCCTAAAAAATCCAGAACTTAAATGTAATTAATATTTGCTTAATAGAGTTGGATATGCAGGCGACAACTTTGCCCGTTATAGTGGCGACACAATAACTATGGCTCAAACACAGAGTAAGTTACAATTTCTGTGGGTGTTGCTGATATCAGAAGACACACATATTTTATTTTTGCTTGATAATCTAATTCTTGGCAATGCAGTGAGCTCTGATTGATTATTATGTATTCATCTTTTGTGTGTTTTAATTCAGTGTTTGCGTGGGAGGCCTATGAGCGAGGCTCAGAGGTCCATCTTCAGGCAGATCCCACAAAACTGGAGCTGCTTCATAAATCTTTCAAAGTTAAAAAGGAAGCTTTCAAAGACCAGCAAAAGGAGAGCATCCTGGACAAGGTACACTGAAAAAAAAACATTGCGTCTTTATTGCAATATAGAAAAATAATAAAATATTTAACTTATGTCTTTGTCTTCTATCTGTTGCCAACAGTATGGTGGCCAGGAGCACTTGGATGCCCCACCCAGGGAACTACTTTTGGCCCAAACTGAAGATTATGTGGAGTATTCCCGTCATGGTGCTGTGCTGAAGGGACAAGAGAAGGCTGTTGCTCGCTCCAAGTATGAGGAGGATGTGCTCATTAACAACCATACTGTAAGGAAAAAACATTTTAAAAAGAATAACATGTGTATAATATATTTGTTTATAATAATTCTGTTTTTTTTTCCCTCAGTGCATTTGGGGTTCTTACTGGAAGGATGGTTTCTGGGGATACAAATGTTGCCACTCTATGGTCAAACAGAGCTACTGCACAGGAGATGCTGGAATTACAGTGGTGCATATAAATTATTTTTATTTATTTTTTTATATTCTTTTTAATGTAATTGTTTTATTTGTGAATGTGTTTTCTCTTTCTTTACATACAGAATTCAGATTGCACCCCATTTGAAGAAGGTCTAACTGAGCCTCAGGAAGAGGAGCAGCCAAAGTCTCTCCTTGAGGTGATGCTTGCATTTAATGGTAACAGAAAAGATCAAGAACTTTATTTTAACACATACAAATGAAATATTCAGATGCATCGCGATAAAATGGAGAAGGAGAAAAAGAAGAAAAAGAAGAAGAAAAACAAGAAGCATGCCTCTGACAGCAGTGACTCTGAGGATGAAGAAAAGAAAAAGGAGAAACTAAAGAAGGTATTAATAATCAAAATCACCCCATCTTGCCTCCGATCTTAGCACTACTGCTAGCGTTAAGGTCGGGCTTCACTGCTTCACTACTTCACTGCTGGAGGCTGGAGTGGGATGGTACAAGTACATATATGACGATGACATCTCAACCAATCTGTGACCACTGTGGCATTTAAAAGCACTGCCAATGTGGGTAACGTTTGCAAGCTTTGCCTCATTACCAGGCGCCAAAGAGGGGTGAGGGAAAAATTATGAATGGGTACAATAAAACAGTTCCGGAGTCCCATGATACAAGAACATACCAGTAGAGGCAGCAGGAATATGGAATTTTGGATGGGCCTTTACAGAAGTGGCTGGGTTTGTGTTCTGAACACTCGCTGCGCACTTGCACCCCTCTTGCACACGAACACACACGTCATCCTTTTTAGTTTTCTCCACATTCCTCCATTTGTTTGCCTCCCATCCCACAGCAGACCCGCTGACCTCTGCTGTCCCCCGGTCGCACCCACTCCCGCCTATCCTGGTAGTCCGCTCTCATGTCTCTCACCTGAGGTACGAGTGTCCACTGCTGCTACTGCTGACCACTCACATTCTCCTCTCACGGGTGTCCATTGCATTTGGTCCCACACAGATGGATGGCTCGCAGATTATGGAAAACGTTTATTGTCATATACATGTTTCTGATTTAACCACTTTGCGCACAGAGACGGATTAAACCATTAACACACGAGGAGGATGCGCGACCTGCATTTGCTTTGCATAAGTGACTGATATGTGCCATGTGCCCAAAGAGCAGGATGTGCAGGTGTCTGTACAGAGAGTTCTCATGTGCACTGTATCTCTCTTAAGCTGCTGTACCCAGGAGAGCAGCACATACGAGACGTGTGTCTGTTGCGCTGTCACAGGCCCAAGCTGTCAATGGAATGCACAGACTCATTTAGACTCTGGCTGATCCAAGACTCCATGCACAGTTTTCTACGGTTCTGGTGGTAGCCTACCTACTGGCGACTAACTTTATAAACTAACCAAAGCGGCACAGTGGGAATAATTTGGTCACGAAATTTAATTTGAAGTTAATGACGGTAAGGACCCGAGGATGTGATGAAATCTGACATCCCAGGATTAGGACTGCACACAGAGTAAGAAAACACACTTTAGGACAGCGCTGTCAACGGCCTCATGTGAATGAGCAGCTTTTGTACAGATCCAGATCAAACCAAACTATAGAACTGTGCTAAGCCGACGCAGGAAACGCGTGAGGGGCTGTGCTCTGCTGCGGCAGGGCTTCTGGACAGCAACGAACATCCCACACAGCACACGAACATGTTATGAATGTTAAGCATTCATCATCCTAATGTATTTCCAAATAAAAGAAGCTTGAGCATGTTACATTCGGTTTTTCAGTGGACTAGTTTGATATTTATTTTTACGATTCTGACAATTCACTGAATGTGCCACACGTCCTCAGTCTGCTCAGTCCTTGTTTAGATCTCCACTCCCTACAGTTGCACTAGTGCTAAAATCTGGGACAAGATAGGGCCCTAATAATTTAAGGAAGACTTTGACCTATTTCATATTGTTGTTTTGCATTTTATTCATTGTAAATTGCAATTTTTATCCAAAATAGATTAATAAGGGAAACAGGTCCACTGACCACCAGTTCAAAACTGCAGAACTGCTTCTTCATACCAGCATTTCACCATAGCAAGCAGTAGATTTTCCCCCACATATTTTTTATGTACAGAGTTGTATGGGTGGAGACATGGACTGGGTGAACACAGGACTTTTATGAGCGCTCAAGCCTTGATAATAAACTCAATCAAAAATATAACTTTTGAGTTGGTTAATCTTGAGGGAACACAATTAAAACAAGGTTAAAGCTCATTAAAGATGATGTTGCATTATATGTGTCTGTTAATGACTAGCAGTTTTCTCATTATTTCTTGTTGCTTGTACTTTCTCTAGGCTCTTGAAGCAGAGGACAAGCGAGTGAAGCATGTTGAGGCCATAATGCAGCTGGATGAGAGGAAGAGACCGTACAACAGTCTGCTGGAGGTGAAGGCGCCCACAGAGGAGGAGATGGAGGCCTTCCGAATGAAACGCTGCCGACCAGATGATCCAATGGCATCTTTCCTTGGACAGTGACCTGTTTCTACAGATACATTCTAAAAGACTTTACTAGAACATACACAAGGCTATAATGGTTTAAAATGACCCATTTTCATCTGTGGAGTCTTAAGCTTGTACATGCCTTCAGATCACGTCACTGAAATGTAAATGATGTTAAGTTTGTCTTAATTTTATCAGCTGAAAAGAAAAATGTTTCTTTTTTGTGGGACTCACTCATGCAACTACTGTGTTTCATGTACAGTATTTTTAATAAAATGCCCCATAAAGCCTTTTGCTCTTAAAGTGTTCTGTTCTGTGTTGGTGGTATTGGGCAGTTGCTTCTTAATTTGCCAACTAATGTAGTACAAGGATTGCATAATATTTAGTGCTGGTACTAGTTTTAAGTGTGACTTATTTTTAAGATAATGTCAAGTGGCATAGAATATTATTTGGATTTGTAAATATTGTGACGTTACTCTTGCAGGTCTGCATCAGTCATGTAGGATTGGTTGTGCAACACCATTTCACTGATTCAGGTGACCTCACTGTAAAAGTATTTGTGGCAGAGAACACGCTCAAACAGGGCAGGTGCTACGAAATAACTGCAGATATTCTTTTGGAGGGCATTTTACCAGCATTTTATAGATTTATTCTGGTGACAGGGAAAAAACCTTGCATACTGAATAAAATGTCCATCTGCAAGTTATTTTTAACCGGTGAGTTTTCTTATCTATTGTTTGCATGCATGTATTGTACTGTTCTTAGCATTTATTAATCCATTAACAGTGAATAGTTTGTTGTGGAGCTTTTCTTTCAAATGTTTTTAATGGATTAAACTATATCATATCTGTCTCAGAAGGTGATGACAAATGTCAACAAGGTCAGCCCAATTTTCACACAACTCGTACATAAAAAAAAAAAAAACATTTAAAAACAATACAAGGGAAGAGGGAGTTTGTGGTCCAGCCTCGTCTGTTACTATTTGTTGCGGTTTTCATATTTTTATTGACCTTTATAAGTCGAGACTTTGAAAGGACCTTGCGAGTGCTGACTTATCATTATCTTTTTCTCTGCAGTTACTATCATACTGTGGACATGGGCTACAATATTGTTTTCAGTCATTTTCTCCCAGTCAACATTCCCCACTACAAACAATGGTGGCAGCATCACTATTGACTCTCCACAGCTGGTGTGCAGTCAGCCTGGACCGGTGGGAGCTGGAGGTGTTCCTGGAGCTCCTGGATCACCAGGAGCCATGGGCTCAATGGGCCCTCCAGGAGAAGATGGTCCTGATGGGAGGGATGGGAGCAGAGGAGATAAGGGGAGCAGAGGTACTTACATGGTGTATAATAAAATTTCAAACAGTTAATATCTCCACACTTAAAACCTTTTATTATTTTAGGTGAATCTGGAAGACCTGGGAATCAGGGGGAGCCTGGTGTCAAAGGGCGCAAAAGTGCTATTGGAAAGACTGGACCTCTTGGATTGGGGGGGCTGCGTGGAGCACCAGGACAAATAGGAAAACAAGGAACAAAGGGAGAGCTGGGTGATAGGGGGGAACCAGGGGCTCCAGGAGGTTGTAACTGTGGCAGCCCTGCCCGGTCTGCCTTCTCTGTGGCAGTGACAAAAAACTCCCCTAAGGAGCATCGACCCATTCACTTCAGACGCATTTTGCTGAATGAAGGACATCATTACAATGCCAGTGCTGGAAAGTTTGTCTGTGTTATTCCTGGAGTGTATTATTTTTCATATGACATTACTATAAGTAAAAGGAATCTGGCCATTGGGTTGGTTCATAATGGCCAGTACAAAATCAGAACATTAGATACAAACTCAGGGAATCATGATGTTGCTTCTGGTTCTGTCATTCTTCGCTTACAGAGCTCAGACCAGGTGTGGCTGCAGATATACAACTCTGGACACAATGGCCTGTTCTTTGACCCATTTTGGACAGACAGCACTTTTACTGGCTTCCTCATCTATGCTGACCAGGACTATCTCAGTGAGGCTAATGCCAAAGATAACAGGGCATAAAAGCTTAATTAATAATTTTCATTCAATCTTTTTATTGGATGAAATGGTGTGCTCATAATGAATTTGTGACTTTCAGACTTGCATTTCTAAGTTATCAGAAAGAAACACAAGGTGGCGCACGAGCAGGAAAAAAAATAAAAAATACAGTTTTTGGCTAATGTTGGGTATTTATGGAATGAAGAAACAAACAAGGGAAAAACATGCATCAAAAGCATGGGTTACATACACTAGGGTTATTTCCAGAATCATTTGTAGGCATATATAGAGTCTATGGTGTGGCCCTACACGTAGCCTGTCTGTGTAGGCCTACAGCAAAAAAATACTTTTAATAAAAAAAAAAGTTGTTATTATTATTTTTTAGGCATATTATATAGTTGTAGCCCACCTAAAACCACAACTGCTTTAGCTCAAATTTAGAGCCTGCGGACTGCATTTGCATTGTAGTCTTGTGACTCCTCAAAGAACTACAACTCCCAGAACGGAAGCTGCGCGTTGAGCGCACGAGCCTCGCACCGCAACAGCAGCAGCTGGGTAGCCGAGGAAGCGACTTTGTTACAGCGGAGCTGCCGTGGAGAAAACGGCTCCAGATAAACCGTAAAAAGTACCTGGGAAAGGGGCAAAACGACACGGTTCAACGTGTATTGCTGTGGTTCGGTCGTGGCAGCTGTTTTATTCATTGACATTAAAAATCACCATAATTTCCTCGGCGATTAAAGAGGGTTTTGCAAAGTTGCACCGAAGAGGAGTTCAGTGAGGATGTCGGACTGAGACAAAGGGGTCTGGGGGGCATTCCCGTCGGAGTGGTAAGTGCCACATGTATACAACCCCAGAATCTAAACTTCTCCCGGTGTTTTGGTTTTTACTAAAATAACATACTCTCCATCACTTGTTTGCCGTTTTCAGCACGAACATGCTTTTAAACAAGTCACACATTTAAGCTCTGTGCTCGCCTCTTAACTTGTGTTCTGACCGCTGTCTCGTGGTGTTTTGACTAAATGCTAAAAATACAATTTGTAGAAGATGTAAAAGTCGATGTTGTTTAATTCTAGAAAATGGCTCGGTCCCTGACATGACCCTATGTCAATTCTAATTTTTTTGACTGGTTGTATTTTTTTCACAATCCGCGGTGTGGCTGAGGGGATATTTAACAGAGCCATTTAAATTCCCCCGCAGAAAGCAAACCCCTGCTCCAGAATCAGGCGTCCACTAAGTTTAACCAAAACCGAGTTCAGACTGATTATGTTGTTGATTGTTTTCATATCGTCTATTCTGTGAGGGAAATGTGATTTAATTAATGTCATATTTTCCAGTTTCTTATCTGGCTGGATCAGATAACTGTGTAGACTGTTCTGTTGTGGTCTCGCTGCCTTCAGCCCTTTAACTCTTGTTTTGGAAACATGTGCTGGCAGGTAAAACTTGAATTTTCGCCTCTTCTGGATGGGAAAGATGGAGAGGGAGCTGCAATGGTGGAAAGGACAGCTGGCTGCAGATATTCATCAGTCCCTCCGCATCAAGGTGAGTGTGACTTTGTTAGGCTACAGCAAACACAATATGCAGGCATTTCATGTGTCACTGTCAATGCTAACTTTATTTATGTTTATAATTGATGATGTTATGTAAACAAAAGCTTGGTGGAAATGTGTTAAATAATAGCCTGTTATACATTCATATTATGTTGTAATAGAGCATTCAGTTTGGAGTTACAAAAATTAACCTACATTTCAAATATATATAAATAACCTATATCACTAAATGTAATCATGCCACCTCTTATCTATTTAAACAGGATCTAAATTGCATTACATGTTAGTTAGGTCTCATTAATTGTGAATGTCTTAATTAACCTCGAAGCGTGATCATATTTCTTCCCATGTGTGTCTTTAATGAAGACATCTGTCACATGAGTGGCATCTCCAGGCTGGAGCAGAGCTGGTCCCTCCTGCGCGGCACTCAGAGGGCGAAGGCAGATTCAGTTTTAGATATGAGCTGCTGCTCAAAACTGTAAACACTATACCATTATACAGAATGCAGTGACAGTGACACTGGCGTTTATAACGCTGTAAATCAGAAGGCTGTGAGCCTCCATAATGAGTCATTGTCTCCCACAGTGAATCGGTTTACACTCCAGGACAATGTCTGAATCAAAGATCTGTCAGAGCCTGTAAGTCTTCATGTTCCCTTCAAAGAAACACAACATGGGCCTCATGTTGTCTTGGGTGCACCATACATTTGGTCAACTATTACCTCACTTGTTTACTCATTAAGAACAACTAGCTTACTCAGCAAAGTGCATTGTTAATATCAGGAGCACTGCACTTACTGCTTTATTAATAAACAGTTGCAAATCTTTTCAGATTTGTTTATCACAAATTAGAGTAGGAAAAATGCACCATAAGGACTTTTCTTTTCTCAGTAGCACTGGGCAGTTCAAAGCCTAAATTGATCACCACACTGTGGTCCTTTGATTTTAAATGACTGTTCTGCCATACAGATACACAAAATATGTTTATATATTTACTTTCTAACATTGTATTAATCCCAAATTGTATTTTTCTCCTGTTTTGTGTATCTTAGATCCATCAGATCTTAAGCAGTGAGTCAATGTTTTCCTAAATGATCTGTGGAGTCATGTTTGAACAGTAACAGAGTGCTGGTAAAGACTCCACACTGGACTCAGGTTTCTTTGTGCCTCCCTGTGGTCCTCTCTTTTAATGACGTTTGCTGCGGGAGAGCCCTGATGTGTCGCTTGTAGAAAATGATCAGACATGCAAATCAGGGCCAAGCAGCTGTGGAATCCTTAATTATGATGCGGGTCCCCCACAAAAGCACCTCTCTCCGCCCCCGTGCTCCCCCCTTGATGCCCTGCGCTCTCGTCCGTGCACCCAGACAGACAGATGGGGGCAGGCAGTGGGGGAGATCTGAGTTTGGGACGACTGGCTGGTGCTGGGCCTGGTGGTGCCGGGGTGGAGCTGCATGGTTGGGAATCACATTGAGTGTCTGTCTGAAAGTCTTACTTCATTTTAATTGCACCCTAAATAAATATTTTCATTTCTGTGTAATTTGAAGAAGGTTCTCACTTCCAGTATTGCGTTATACTGCATTTAAAGGATTATATCAAAGCTGGAGTTTTGGGTTGCTGTTTTATACAAGCATTTTCTTGAAAAAAGAGCTCAGACATGTTTTCTGTTCTTATAGACCTCTCGCTGTTGGAGACTAAGTAGATTAATTTCTGATCCTCATTTGGAGTATCAAAATAAAGGCTCTTGTTTTTGCCCAGAGACAAAAACCGTTTTAGCCAACATTTTGAATAGTTAAACTAAAATGATTTGACGTTGTTGGCAGAGCTACTTTAAGCATTTTGTGTGCACCGCGGGCTGATTCAATGCTAATGTGCCAAATTGTCTTCTTCCACTTTGAATCTGATGCAGTTAATTGAACATGAATGAGCGATGTGCCCCTCAGCCTCCATCACACACCCCTGTACCCAGACCCCTGCCACCACCCAAATTAGCTTATGCTCCCTGCTGTGTATGTATATTCAATCAGACAGCAGCTGTAAAGTATTTCTGATAACAAGAGATAAAAGTATCAAAAATCAGATAGTGCTAATAATACTAAAACTAGTATTAAATCTAGATACTCATTTAGATACTAGTTATTAAAATCAATCACATAACGATCTTGAGCTTTATAAGAACTAATATAAGACCCCATGCCAGCATAAACAAAGTACTAGTATTTTGTGTTGAAAAGTCTATTGTCATTTTTTAAAACTTGTGGTATGGAAATCTGTATCAAATATTATGACTATTACTATACTTTTAACTATCAACTATTGATTCATGACAACATTACGAGTGATATTTTTAGATGTTTATTAGTTTATCGTCGATATTCTCATGCAGCATATTAACTCCTTGAGTCTCCTACTGTTCTGAGCTGTTTACATCACCCTCATTCCTCTTCTTCATAGGAGCTGAAGTTACCTGTGTACCGGGCCCACTCTCCGCAGATTGGCATGCGGCGGTACTTCGCTGACCTGTTGGCCATTCTGAGTAATCGCTACCAGCTGTGCCCCACAGCGCGCCACCTTGCCGTGTACCTGCTCGACCTCTTTATGGACCACTACGATGTGGCAGTGAAGCAGCTCTATGTCATCGCCCTCTCCTGTCTGCTCCTGGCCAGTAAGTACAAATGTACAGACCCACTCCAAAATTATACCAATCATTAAACACGTGAAAAAAATTAGTTTGAAAGTGTTTTAGTAAATATATTGACAGAACTTTTTACAGGGACCTTAGACTAAACCAGCCTCTGCACAATATGTACTTTGTATTTCTGGTGAGCTCAGAATAGAAGCTGTGAATGTGGTTTTTGCACGTAGGGTACAGGGTGAAGTACTTCCTGAAGCAAATCTAATTTGATTTGGGCATGAGCTAGAGTGTGTTTTCCTCTCAAACATGAAAGAAAAAACAAAACATCTTTGTATTTGTAAAACCATAAACCGTGACTTTAGCTAACATGATGTACTGTACCTTCTTCCTCTGTTTTTGATATTGTCTTATATTTGTAGTCTTATACTGTAAAGTGTGATCAGGTCTCTAATCTCTTGAGGCCTGTCTTGATATTCACTTGGTACAATATTTCAGTAGAATCCAGCCCGGACCATCTTCCTGTTATTTTGATGCAAATGTGCCAGCGATGCCTGGCTGATCTGTGTGGCTGTTATTAGCATGTCTCTGTGTGGTGATTAACAGGCTGAGGTTTTCTGTACATTAATGTGGCCCTCAGCATCATGGGTAATTAGACTAATGATGCCATCGAAGTGGGAGTCTGGAAGCAAGCCCCGTTCACTCTGGAGGGCCCTGTGCGCACATGGTTTACATGTGTGTGTGCGTCTCTGTAATCAGAGCAATCTGTGGAAGGGAACATTTGAATGAGACTTGAAAGAGGTTTTATTCAAACCTAATCTCTGGAGAGGCTCAGAATAGCTTTGAGTTTCTCCTGGTCTAATACAGCAGCACTCTGAGGTCAGAAGATCTTCATCAGTTCTGCTCCTGATGAATCAGATTTTATTGAATCTTTTATTTGTGGCTCTCAGTCTTTGGGCTCAGCTCTGGCTCCTGTGGGACTCGTCATGATTGATGAGGGCTTGAAAGGGTGTTTCATTCAGAGTTGTCTTGGTTTTTATCTCTCCTGAGGTTCTTTGGATTCTGGCCTAGTTATTGAAGTGCTTCCCCAGGCTCTGCCTTTGACACTCTTACATTGTCTGTTTTTAAAAATCTTGGGGTTTCTCTGCCTACTTAATTAATGGCTGCCTCTTTTGTATCTCTCAGCAGTGTCTGTTTAATCCTGTTAGGCTGCTGTGTGTGCTGGAGCATTCATGTGGTGCATGAGGAGCTGCTCTTCAGTGGCAGCAGGAAGATTACACAAACTTTTCAAATGATACAAGGATTAAGTGTGCACCTGAGAAGAGCTCTTTTATCAAAAAATGCTGCACTTCTCCAAACTTGCTGATACTGAATTAAAACTTTGGGTGACTGAAATGGAGGGTCTGATGGTGGTTGGGGACAGACTGGCAGCACATCCATGTGTCTTTGTTGCAGCTTGGTTCGTGATGCTCAGTGAAGCTGAATGGGTGCTCCCTGTGCTGTGACACAGTCAGAGCACACTCAGAGTGAGTCCAGGGTGCTCCCTGAGAGGTCCTGAAGCCGGGGGAGGAGCTGTGTGCTGAGGGGCACCTGCCATATGCTCCTCCAGTCAGGCCTCAAACAAAAGCCTGTCAGTGCGAGGGGAGGGGGAGGGGCGAGCAGGCAGGACGCTGTTCTCAGTGGAACATGGGTGAGATTAGGACTACAGTCTGCTTCTAGACCTTCGGAACTCACACAGTCCCTCAGCTTTTCTGACCTAGAAACACTGGGCTCTGGTCTGTTTTTTCACCTTGAGCTGCAGTACTTCACTATCGCTCTGTCCGGGGAGAGCAGCAGAGGAAAGTCCTACGTCCTGGGGGCTGGTGTGAGAGCAGAGGCACTTCAAAGGGCTGATGTGGAGCAGGAGAGCAGAGGGTGGCGTGGTGGCAGCTTCAACAGGACATGTTAGAACTGAGCCTCTCAGCAGGGTGCTCTAGACCTACACAAAATACACATTCCACTCCTCAGAGACACAATGTTGCCATTTTTGTTGATGTGCACCTTTAGCTTGTTAAAAATGAATGTGAAAATCTTCAATAGAAGTGCTTCTAAATATTTCCTGAGCTCTTTCATGGTCCAAAGGTTTGGTGTGCCCATATTCCCCTAGTGCCTCCCCCTGACAAGGCACATAACATCCTTGTGATGCATGCTCATATACATACATAAGGCTGGACTCCCCTTGGTCACACAGGCATTTGCATGGGGGGTCAGAGGTGACCCAGGACAACAATGTGTAAGCCGCCAGGGCAACTAGAGCCTGTGATGAAATGTATACAAACTTCACAACCCAATGAAAGATGGTGCACAAATGAAAGCAGTTTCAAACTCCGACAGCTTTCTAGGAGGCAGCCGTAACAAAGACTGTAACCCCCCAATTTATAATTAATGTGCGCAGTGAGTGGAAGTAAGCAACTGAAAAGGAAAGCCACGGAGAGATGTGCTGATATGCTTTGTTTGTTCTGTCAGTTGGTCTCAAGTTTCTCAGCTGCCCCCATCTTTAAAGCCCCACCTTCTACACACCTGGGAAGAGCCTGCATCCCCTCCGCCTCTCCCCTGACTCCTCACCCTTCCTCCATACATGCACCATTCTCTTCTAGGGTCATCAAAGGTATATTTCCAGATTTATGCTAAAACTCTTATCCCATTAGATATTAATTTTAAAAAGCATGAATAGTTAAAATAATAGACTCTTTCCCACTGGCATGGCAAGGTGGCATTGGGCCACCTTGGAGTGGGACTGTTTGATATTTGGCTCCCTCTTGCCTACGTTTCCATTACTAATGTTTTCTTAATAAATAAAATCAAAGCCATAATTGAATTATACTCTTCTAAGTCTAATCTTAGTGATTCACAAAAAGACTTTTAATAATTAAAAGTTTGTGGTGCTGTGAAACAAGGCTACATTTTCATAAAGGACAAAACTTCTACCGGTTTATGGTCAGCCCTTTCTGCATTCATTTCACTTCTCTGCACCTTTACACAGCATTTAACGTCTCTTTATCTAATGTATTGGGTTTCGCGGAGTCAGAATTGTGAGCTTGTGTCAGTGACTGAGTCTCACTGATGATGCATCCCAGGTAGAGTCCAGTCACTGCACAGGAATGCAGACAGACAGTTGGACCTGTTATGAAAATGAAAAGAAAATTGTCTCCAGTTGCCTAATGAAACAGCCTTTTAACCACTGACTTCAGATTTTCCTCAGCACTGTTAAACAGTTGCCACTCATTGCTTTTATTGCAGTTCTGTGGGGCCGGGCTGTGCAGCTGACTCAAATGAACGCACACAGTTTTGCCTTACACCCCGGGGAGGTAGCATGGTACAGTGCTTACAATCTTATATTTCTCCTTTGAAGTCTTTTAAAGCCTCTTGTGCTCTGCTCCATCACCCCCTCTAGTAGATAGTAAACCTGCACTAGTATCACAGGAACAATGAGCAGATAGACTTCCACTTTGTCACCCTGTCACTCTGGGAGGGTCTGGACCGTAGTGTGAGTGTTTTATGGGGGTCTATGTGGACACAAACAGCAGGTCCAAGACCCTAGGAGGATGTGAGGGTGAGAGAAGGGGCCTATTCCGCAGTACTTCCTGTTCTGCTGCAGACGCCATTACTGCCTCTGCGCTAATTACCCCTCAGGCCTGCTCCCACGACACCCCTCCCCTCTCCCCCTCCTGCTCCTGTCGGCTCAAAGAAGGCTCCCAGCTCTAGTGATAAAACATACACTCAGAGAAGGTGGTATGCTCTTTTGCTCTGGCTCATATGGATACAAATGTCTTCCAACAAAATAAACAAATGAAAAACAAACAAATAACAAACAAATTAAAAAAGGATAAAATCTGAAGGAATAGTCTACACACTGCAAAAAGCAATATATAGGCAAGTTGAATTTATTTGAATAAAGGATATACAAGTAGATTTGACTTGTCTGATAAAAGAAACATAACAATCTCTTTTAAGTGCAAAGATTTTGGTACAGAAAGTCTTGTTTCAGTCATAGGTTAAGTCAAAACTAGTTAAATCGAGATAAAATATTCTTAAGTCATTTTTACTTGACTAAATATTACTTTCTGCAGTGCACACCCAATTTTGTCTCAGCAGAATTCTATGGCAAACTTTGGCACACACTTCCTTTTTTTTAATCATATTGTGGAATACCATTGTTTTGAAAAATATTGCTTATTTTCTCTTTAGGGTTCTGTTTTTTAATATGAAGAGAAATTAGGCTATAGGATCTTAACAGTTCTTAAAATGTAAATACCACTTTTTCATTGGTATGCATTTCAGTGCCTGAGCAGACCTTTATATCTCACTCTGGATCTCTCTAATGTCGGGTTTAAGTTAGAGCAGGTCACAGTATCACAGTAACCTGACACCCCTCTCCCTCATTCTTAACTTTGTGGAGTAGAGGCCCAGTGGAGGCTGGGATTAAAGGCAGAGTGACTCCCCTTCATTGGCCACTGCCCCAGGCCTTGGGCTGTTGCTATGGGAGGAGATCTGGGGCTGTTGTTATGAGAGGAGACTGTTGTCATTGTTCATTCAGTTTTGACGGTCTTTGGCTACATTTGCAACTTACATTATTTTAATATTTTATTATATTGTAATCTGAGAGCTACTATATCCAGGTAATTTCCCTTATGGACCAGTGAAGTTTGTCTAAGTCTAATGAACCAGAACCAGGAAAGGAAGGTCTTGGGGGTTGTTGCCATGGGAGGAGGTGTCTGGGCTTTTGCTATGGGAGGAGAAGGTTTAAGGGCTGATGCCATGGGAGGAGGAGGTCTCAGGATAGCAGGGAGCACTTTGACCTGGTGTGTGTTTAATATTTGTTTGCGTGTTTGAATGAACATGGCCCAGGCTGCTCTAGTTTCATAAAAAGTGTAACATGTCTAACCCAGCACCACACATAGAGCTCATTAGCTTAATGACTGATCTTTTAATCTAGATGTTCACTGTTCATCTTTTCTGTGAGCCACTTGTTAAAATGCTTATGTCTTGATTTTGGGAGCAAAAAACGTGAGAATTTTGTAGAAAGTTTAACTATCTTAATGCAAGGCCATCTTCTTTCACTCATGTGCCTCCTGCAGCTAATGAGAGATGTGAGAGGGAGTTTTAAATAAATATTAACTTTTTAGTGTTTTATAGATTCTTGCACATTTCTCTTGTTTACAATAATTAGAAAACTTAATTCCTATTTGGGCTGCAGTTGAGGAGTTTTGAAGAGCTGTTTTTTGCTCCGAAGTAGCACCTCACTCATTAAGCCCTTTGTTGCTCAAAGCTAATTAGCAGTACTTGTTTCTGTTTTCAGGTAAGTTTGAGGAGAAGGAGGACCGTGTGCCCAAACTAGAGCAGCTGAACTCTCTGGGCTTCATGTGCAGCCTGAACCTGGTGCTCAACAAACGGGATCTGATCAAAATGGAGCTGCTGCTGCTTGAGACGTTCGGCTGGAACCTGTGCATGCCCACCCCGGCCCACTTCATCGACTACTATCTCCACGCTGCAGTGCAGGAGGGAGACCTGTATAACGGCTGGCCCCTCTCCTCCTTCTCCAAGACCAAGGCCTTTATGGACAAGTACACACACTACTTCCTGGAAGTCTCACTGCAGGGTAAGTCCAGAATCTTTCTTTGTCAATGTTCTTGAAGTGATTAAATGTGGTGTTTAACATAACTAATTTCTGGCTCTTTATAGACCATGCCTTCCTGAGTTTCCGTCCGTCTCAGGTTGCTGCTGCCTGCATTGCTGCATCTCGTATTTGTCTTCAGATCAGCCCGAGCTGGACCACAGCTCTGCACCTCCTCACGGGCTACACCTGGGACCACCTCACTCAGTGCATCGAGCTCATGCTGCTGTAAGTACTGCCATCATTAATGATCCATCCAAATCCATCCTATCAAATTACACAAGGTGCAAACAGGTGAAAATAATGTTGATGCAAATGGTTAACAACAGATTTCCAGTGTTTCAGTAGCTCATGAGCACCTGTGCTTTAGTAATGACCACCTGGGTCTCACTGTTGGTTTGATCCTGTATTCCTTCTGATCAAACTGAGAGCTGTGTTCTTTTGTACAGAGCCCATGACAACGATGTAAAGGAGGCCAATAAAAGCAAGTCCACACCTCCCCACAGGCCGTCGTCGCTGCAGCCTCAGTCGTCCTCTCATCTGTCGCCTGTGTCTGCTGTTCAGAGACCCTCCTCCTCATCCACTGTCTCAACTCCACAGCTGCTTTTTCAGCCTGATGCCTTCCCACATATTTCACAGCATTCCCCCTCACTGTCGCAGTTGCAGGCCCTGACTCCTGTGGTCAGTGTTTCTCAGGACTTCCTCCAAAACCACAGAATGGGTCTGTTAACAGCCGCTCCAGTGGTGCCCCCCTCGCCCGCCTTTCCTTCATTCTCCGCCCTGAGCTCAGGTCTTCAGGCCAGCTCCAGGGGCCTCCCTCTGCAGGGGCCCCTCTCCATGCAGATGGCCCTGGCTACAGAGCCACGACACTGTCTGAGCATGGCCTATAGTGGAGGGTACCTGGGAGCCCACCACACATTCACAGCAGGCTGCTTCGACAGGTGACGCCAGGAGACGGAGAGGGAGTGCACCGCCATGCTTCCGTCCCAAGTTCCAGCCAAAAATCCTTTTCCAGAACTCCTCTCTCTCTCCGTCAGCAGTTCTGCACCTTCAGCCCCCGCGCCCTCCTCTATGTCCCAGAGACGTCTCAAACGTAAACAAAGGGCCAAAGGCAAAACTGATCCAGTGGAAGTCATCACTCTGACGTGACTGTGGCTCCACTGTGGGAATGAAACTCACTGTAAAGGCCATATCTCACTGTTTGTCAATCTGCCATCACTGTGAATGAGATGAACTCTGACTAACCCTCCTCATTCAGTGCCTCACTCAGTTTGTGAAACTGAGTTCATTTTACTCCAGGAAATCTTTCAGCATGTTTTGCTGCTGTTTTTATTTTCTCACCTGCAAAATTTTTTTGAGACAAAAAATAGAGCTATTCAGAGCAGTTTGAAATTGAACTAGTTACTTGTGACTGTAATCGACCTAATGGCGATTGAGGTTATTGATCACACCTGATCAGTCCCACAAGAGGGATCATTCATATGTTTCTTCCCTCTTCTAAAGTTTTACTTTCCAAAGTTAAACTGAGAATTTGGTGTTTCTAAATTCACAGCTTTTGTGATCCCAATGTCTTCAGCTTAGTTCAAAGATTTGAAGCTACTTGGATGTGACTGGACCCCTCAGTGAAGAAGACTTGTGTTTAATTGTGTGTTGTACAGATGAATTGCTGCTGCCTTTTATGAACTGTTGGTTCTGTCTGTGTTGATGATGTTTACATGAACCACTAAGTATCAGGGACTAAAATACGATTACTTGAATACGATGCCATTGAACCACACCATAGCTTTTATTTATAACGTCTGACTTCTCTTTTTTTATTTAGTGTAGATTTTATACCACGTGGAACACCCCAGTTTCACTAGTTTGTTTTGTTTGTACCTCTGTATTTTCCAGCTCAGGTTATAAGGGTAAAAACCTTTCTATTACTCGCTGTTATGCTTTAAGAGGATGCTATTATAATGCATCTTTGGGGGCTCTCGGCTCCCCCTTTTCATCACTGGACCATTACACCTGCTACTGACTGACAACAAATAGATACTGTAGGAGTTCCTTTACTGATGCTAATTTCATTGGTTTAGTCTTTTTGGACACTGGACATCTCTGCATCAGTGCCTTTCCCAATAACACCAGCTCATAAGATATACTAAATAGTTACTGATAAGCACATTCATGAATGCTATTGTACAGTTGAGTTTTTACATTCCTTTCCCCCATTTTTAGTTGTTTAAAAGTGCATTGTGTAAGTTTTGTGGTTGAGGGCCGTCACATTCTTTTATCCATGAAGATGTTTTTGCTTGGTCTGGTTTGGTCTCCATGAAGATAGAAATGTTTAATACCATACTGTGAAATATTCCAGACTAAGTTACAGGTCAGATCTGTGGAAAGGCAACCCTGCTCACAGTCAGCATCCCTGTTTTTTCTAGGTATTTTTGAGCTATTAAATCATCTATAATGTAATAAATGTTAGGTAGAGCTGTTTAATGTCATACTGTGGAACATTCCAAGCAGAGCGGTGACATATCCATAGAAACAAGCAGGTGACAGACCCTTAACCAAAAAGTTACATAGTGTACCTTTTATATAACTGGATTTTTGTTACTCTGAACTCATGGACAAATTCTCATTGAGGTGTCAAAAGTGCAATAGATAATGTTCTGTTAAAACTGCCATCACAGTTTGGTGCACACCTCTGGTTCAAATTTTTAAGTTATTTCTTAATGTGTGATTTGACTTGCTGTTGCCTGGGCTACTGTTGCTGGTGATTATGTTGCATATTGTAGCCACCTCCAGTGATAGACAAACTCAATGATTTTATCTCTAGCTAGTTTCGCATTTTGTTCTCAACACAACACTGGCAATAGTAATGCATAAAACATGAATATTCAGCTTATATTTTTATATCCTTTTGTAACAAACTGTAGTGTTGGTTTAAATGACACTGGTTGATAAAAAGATCATTATCAGATGTGCCATGAAAAAATAAACACACATTTGAACCAAACTGGATCTTCTTGTCTTTCTGTTAAGCATGACAGATGGCTCTCCTGGGAACAGAGCAGCTTCAGAGAAAGAAGGAGTTACCCTTATATTGTGTTTTGGGGCTTTTACCACTAATGCAAGGTAACATTACTTAAGTATTGCTCATTACAAATACAGGAAAAACTACTGCAATTTTTAGTGCTGCTACCTACACCACTACTACAATTATTACAATTATTACAAGCAATTTTGCAATCTATTGGTAACACTCTTGTGGCACAAACTACAATGAATATATAGTGTATTAAGTATTCAGGATTAGTAAGTATTTGTTCATTATGGAGAATTTTTGTGCATTATTAAGGCTGTAAATAATGTTATTTGTGTCTTAACAAAATATTAAAGTAGACTGTTCTTATTTTAAACCTTATGGTAACAGAATTAAAGCAGTACAATGTTTTAAGTTAAATCTAATGTTATTAAATTACTAGATGCAAATAAAACACACTTAATAATGAAAAATATGAATTAATATGAATTAAGCTTTATTGTAAGTTTATGTTCCAACTGTCTTCGATTGATGGTTCCTTTAAACTTAATGCAACTCTTTTAAAGGTTAAAAAACTACAGAGCCTAGAACATATAACAACAAGAAACACAGATGACAAAGAGATAATTCAGCTTTCACATTCACCATTCAAGAAACACTGTGACCCTTGTTTAGTGACCAAACAAAATGCTCTGTATGTAATAATGAATCCATGTTTTGAGTGAATACACAGATGAAGCTTGTTGTTGCTTGAAAAGATATTTAACATTACAGAAACATGCCTTTTGTAGTCATCACTGCAGCCTACTCACTTGTGAACGCAACTCATAGCAATTTGAATGAATTTCAGGAAACTGATTTCCATACTTCTTGAGGACATTACATTGACTCATATGCATTTCCTAGACACTGATCCCAACTTTAATCGTAGTTACAACTTGTCTGACCTTAACCTTAACCTTAAAGGTGCACTGCCTAACAGTTCTAGTAGAAGTCTGCCACCTGATTTGTGGAGAATCACCCCTTTTCACAGAAGGAATTACTGTATTTTTGAGCAATAGAAAGGCATGTAATGAATAAATGCTAGATGGATATGTTTAATGTCATACCATGGAACATTCCAGTCAACGCAATATTATCTCCATGGATACAAATAGATAGTGAACCCTCCACCAAAAAAGTTGCGTAGTGCATCTTTAGCTTATACCCACATCTGAACTTTAAATCATGTTGTTGATCTAATAACAGAGCTGTCTCTGACATGTTTGGCTGGACATTTTTATGTGTTGATGATTTTACTTTGTCAATTCATATATGGAAGGAAACATTATTTTTCATAATCTTTACTTTTACACTCATCTTGGTCACGAAAAACTATGTCCATGAGGGCCCTCTGTAGTTTGGGGCCCTCGGCAATTGCCTGACCACTGTGGTGGCTCTGTAAAGGATAAAGGATCATGAGGACCTGATTTAAGTTACAGATTGTAGTCCCCACTGAGTGATAAATACCCTCCCACACTCATCAGACATTAGACCCACATACATTAAAAAGCCAGGATTAAACACAGGAGCTTCTACATTATCCTTTCAAGCACATGAGTGTTGTTAAATTGTTTTTCAGTTTCCTTAGTTACCAGACACAAGTAAAGAGGTCTTGTTTGCCAAACTGAAGTAGCTTATCCAGTGTAAAGAGTTGGTGATAATTGTAATCTTCCTGTACACTTGCCTCTGTAGTTCATTTGGCCATCTGTAGAGGGTGGAGCTCTGGGGGAGTAGAATGCTGTGTTGGAGGCTGTTAATGAGCTAATTGTTCATTCTCTTGTAAGCTATTGTTTCCCAGTCAGGCCTGTCATGTGTCCTGGAGGAGGAAGTGGGAGAGGGGGGTAGGTGGGGGTGCACGGAACATATCAGCTTCTTTCTCTCAGTGAACTTCCTTTAGTTTAAGCCAAAACCACATGGTTTTATCATATAGCAACTGATAGATAACAACTAGGCCTAATCCTTAACATATGGCAGTTGTGGTTGTCATAACATCTTTGCACAAATGAAGGCTGAGAATCCTGACATTCAGTTAAAGTGCACTATCACTTTTCTGATGAGGGTCCGCCACCTGCTTTTCTCCATGGACATAGTATTGCTTCTCTTGCAATCCACACTATGGCATTAAAATGATCCGTTTTCAAAATATTACTTTTCATTAAAAAAACACCAATGACTGAGTAAGCTAGATGTAAAGTAGAATGTTTAATGCCCTTACACAGTATTTCAAAGCTGGAGTTGGCCTTTGGATAATAAAGTTATATTTTCATAACAAACACATAAGACGTTTTTTGTTTTGTTTTTTTGTATTTCTAACCTGTTTTAACACAGTAATGAAAGTCTGTAGCAGTCTGTAGTATATCCAGTCAGCCTGACAAGCCCTCATATGCAAATTCTGCACAGAGACATGCAAACAACTACAGGCTAAAATGTGTTTATTTAAACGTTACGGCCTGAGGTGGATCTATTTGACAGAAAAAATAATAAGAAAAATAAGATTGGCACATTGTAGTGTATTCTATGGTTAATTATTTAACTATTCCAATTTATCTTTTATGATTAAAGCTCCATCTAGTGGTGACCATATGACAATGCATTTCACAATTTCTACCACCTGAAACTCAAATCTCATAATGTAAGTGTAATGTAATGTAAGTGTTATAAATAGAATGTTCTTCTACTGAAGTTAAATCTTAAAAGTATCCACTACATTCACATATTTATTTCTGCTAAAATATTCAAGTCAAACTATCATCATTTAACTTAATAAAATGGTCATGCACAGTGGCATTTGCTTGATCTGTGGTGTTAGCTTTTTACTATACTACATAAACATATCGCATAGAAACCTTAATTTGACCTGTTGATGTTGACTAATTTTAGTTAATAATTAGAAAGGGTAATCAAGGACTGTAATTAAAGCCTGTTGTACCACATTGTTCACCAACCCCAAGATGTCCTTAAGCAACAAATACAGCATAGAGGCCTTTACCCACATGTTAATGAGGCACGTTTAAGTCCATTATACTATGTGTTTCTCACTGAACTGGCACAGTGGGCTGTAGTTCTCTACAGAGCTCACCTGGCCATTGAGGCCATAAGTGTAATTTCCAACAGCAGTATGATGTCCCAATTACTGATTTCAGACTTGAATAAATGCATTATAATACAGGCCAACTCACAGCAGTGTGTCTCTTGACTGTTGTGTGCCTGTCACTAGATCAGTTGTTCTCAAACTGTGACAAATGTACAACTGGTGGTTCACAAGCTCGTAGGCAGCTTCTCAGTTCTTTGCTTCAGTTTGAGTCTATTTTTTCCACATATTAAACCTCTGAGTATTTGTGTTGTTAGAACTACTATGGCAGGTAAACATTTTAGACTTGATTTTCATACTTCAAACCTGTAGTATTTAGGCCAGATATTTTTCCTATAGTTGCTACTTCGTGTGAAAACCATACAAAATAATTTTAAGATACTATAGGTTAATTCATTTATCCAGTTGGTTAATAATAAAGTGATGGATGTCATTCAACAAGTGACAACTGATTTTTAATAGACATACAGTTACTGGCATATGCTGCAAATACCTTCTGATAAACTTTTTTAATAACAACAATCACAAAAACATGATTTTATAATATCAGGACACATGGATTGAGAACACATAATTGCCTGCAGATTTTTCAGAGCTCCTTGTTTAGTTTTCTCATGGCATGTTCAGTCATGCAGTCTCAGATCCTCTTGCTCACCCGCTTGAACGTCACACCCTTCTCTCCTTCAGTTACACAAGTCTAGAGACCCCAAGAAAAGTAAAAATAATGTAATTTTACTCAACAAATACACACATTTAATACATATTAATATATATAAATATTATATATATATATATATTTATAATAGTACAAATAAATATCACTTTAAAACATCAGCAGATCCTCTAAAAATCCAGCTGACATGCGTGAGATGTGCCTTCTTACCATGATCAGTTTATCATCCACAATCTCAGTTGTTAAATGGTACTGAGGGAATTGTATTGAAATTTTGCCATTCTCCATTATGACTGGAGCCTATAGGTCAAGGGCAAAATATTAGAGTATTGATATTCAGTATCTATCTATAAATGATATGTTTATAAATCAAATTAACCCACCTTGAATTTTTTCCCCGTCATTGTGGACAGCTCACACTCTTGGCCTGCAGTAAAAGAATTCGACCAGGTCCAGTTTGGAACGGTTTGAGTCCAAGTAAAGTTGTTCCCATCTTGATGCACCTCTGTGATCACTTTATGGTCAGTCTTTGCTTTGAGGAGTCCTGCAAACAGCACAGTCTAACTCCAAAATGATAAAAGCATAATTTGTATAATTGCATTTTTATTTACCTATTGCTTCTAGAAACTCCACATAATTTTCTTGACACTCCAGCTCATATTTCCCTGTGAAAGTAGTCATGATGGAAAAGACAAATGGAAAGAAACCGGGCTCAACTTCATGACACATTAAAAAGGGGGCGAGGCCACATGTGATCAAACCGCTTCCTCCTTTCCTCCAAATCTTAGTCCTTTATCAGCACATTAACCAACCACTAAATTAAAGTCACACAACAACTTTTTGTCACTGTTGCAATAACTTAGTAACTTGGAAATAATCTCAAGAATTTGTCCTGCTGTCATTATCAGGTTTGTTTAGTGAGATGTGAATGGGCTGCAAGTCAGAGCATGTGACAATAGGCAATAGTGAGGAATATGAGAGGGGAAAACATTGGATGAATACTATACTATAAACAGAATACTATAAACTTAATGCTGAATGTAATTTGAAATGTCCAAATGAGACAGTAGACATGCATATAATAACATCACAAATTAATCTAGAAAGATGAGAGGAGAATGTCATGTACTGTATATTTTGCCAGGAAATTGTTGAACTTACTATAATGCTATGAAAGTCTCTCGTCCATTGAACAAAAATTGCAAAATGCAAACACAAAATTTCTGATCTTTGTTGATTGCAATGTGAAGTCTCCTCCACCAACATTTTCTAACTTCCAGCCAACTGCAGTGTATCCGATGTGTTTGTTTGAGACACTGGTCTAGTGAGTTCTGGAGAGTTGACCTGTATTATATTGTTACAATGCTAATGCATATATTCCACACTTACAGTTGATAATATGCAATTAAAAAAAAAAAAAAAAAAACACACACATTTTAAAATTTGGGTTATTTTTGGCTTACATCTATAAGTACAGTTTTGTATGTTACACTTAAAAATGTAACACATTAATACTGGATAAGGCTACCAATACTGCTGTTAAAAAGTAAAAGCACACCCACATATTCACTTGTTAAATATGCTGGTGGCTGAATCCAGAATCATGATCTAGTTCATCTGTTTTCCCATACTAAGCAAATAAGATAAACCTGAGTTGAAGAATGAAAGATCTGCTAGAAGATGCAGCGGCTAACAGGTCCGGGCCAGACTCCAGACAGCTTTAAGCATCAACAGATTGAGATTTGATATGTTCTTGCCCAAAAAACATGAACGACAACTGGGCAAACATAACCAGAGGCAAAATCAAGCAAAGAAAGCTAGCAACATGCCAAACCGTCTGGTGGACATTCTGGTGAGATGGAGGAGAGGGTCGGACACATATAAACAGCTCAGATTATAATGGACAACATGCAGCCCCCAGATAACAGACAGCCAGTAGAAAATGGACTCGGCAGGAGATGTATGTCTTAAACGCCAGCTGTCCTATGAGGACTTCAAATTTTACCTTATCAGAAGTCCCAGAGATGTGGATCTGTGCAATGGTAAAGATGCTGAACAGTGAAAAGAAGATGACAATATGGGCTGAAGGAGAGAACTGTTTCCAATCTATGTAAGCTAACAGGACAAATGGTACACATTTGACCTTACATTATATTAAGTTTACATATTCCCATAATTTTGATTAACCTTGTCAATGACAGCTTTGTTGTTGTTGTTCCAAGCCCCAGAATTGGACCCTCTTCCTTTTCATTTCTATTAAAGGGGGATTTCTATGTGAGTCTTCTTGCCCAGGGCCCCGAAATTTCTTTTGATGGGTCTGGCACTTGCAAATGCAATGTGTAAGTATACTCATTTAAAGAAGAGGGCACAAGGATAATTGGAGTGTGACCTGGAATGTTTGGGTCATGTCCTTTAAAAGCAGCAAGATCACATTTTAGGTAATAGGTCGATTTCAGATGCCAAGAAGACATTTGCTTGATTCGAAATCAAAGCTTATAGACTTTTCCACTGACATTATCTTATTTTATTTCACTATTTTTACTTAATGATGACGGATGGATATAACCTTCAGAAGTCAGACGTTTCTATATTAAGCATTGGCAAGGGAAATGGAAATTGAAAAAATAAAATAAAATGCCTTTCAACACGATTTTATTCATGTCTCAATCACATTCTGGTACAGACAGCAATGATTCTTCAACACTGGACATCAAACTTATGTATATCTTTATTGTGCGCACTGTAGAGAAAGTTTTACTTAATATATACCACATAAATCAAGTGAATTTGTGACAATTTAATTAAATTAGTTATAAGGACTTCTTCAGCTCAAAGTACATATATAATGTGCTGTGCATATGATGATCCATTCACCTTTTATCGTTCATAAAATGTCATGCATTCCCTTAACAGAAAGGTCTTTAACCTTTGCCAAACATTCAGTAAAATAGAACATACGTTGACAGCAGCATAATTATACTTAAACATCTTTATCAAATACTGACCAGAAATAGACCACTGACCACCATGTGACAAGTGACATCAGGTAGGCATCATGACAACTGACAGGTGACATGACCAGATCATCCCATAGTCACAGCACAGAGAACAGGACACATTAGTCAGTCAAAGAACCATTTTTTCCCCAAAGTGTTACTTTTATAAAGTGTTCCCATTGTAAAGGGCTCAAACGTCCTTTGAAGGACAGTGGAGAACAGGGTTCAGATGATGAATGACCGGTATAGGCTGGTTGAATATTACACAAGTGGTCACCATTTACAACACAAATCTCTGACCGCTGGTTCAATAGTTTTATACCTGATCAACAAACACAGCTAAGCTCAGACTTTGTCCACAGTCTTGTCTCGAAATTTCCCAAAGGAAAATGAAAACACATTTGCAGTCACATTGTCTGTTTTTCCTCGGATTACCTCTGGTTTTATCAACGCAGGCTCACAGTCTGTGGGGGTCCCGGGGAGTAGGTTGGGAGTGGATGGGGTCGGGGTGCTAGGCCCCCACAGGAAGAGGGCTTCCCCTTCGGGACACGGGGCCAGACCTTTACTTAAGTAGCTGGGACTGGGGCTGGCGGAGGACAGGGTGCGCTGGCTACCGTTCAAACAGCTGGAGTTGTGGTCGTTAGATCCTTTTCGAGAGTTTCCGGAGGAGCTAAAGTTGGATGAACGGTAGTTGTAGGCCTTCCACCCTGGGCGCTTCCTCTGATGCCACTGACAGCGGAGGATGCGGATAAAGGCAAGCTTAAACTCGCGGTTGTAGCACGGGTAGATGATGGGGTTCAAGCAACTGTTGAAGTAGCCCAGCCAAAAGATGACTTTGAAGAGGACCTCAGGAGGGCGCAGCTCCGGTTTAAAAGAAACTAAACAACAAAGAGACGGGTCAGCATATAAGAAGAAATGCATTTTACTGTTGTTTAACTGTGTGTGTTTCATTTTACACCTGTCCTTCTTACCAACAGCAAGTGAAATCCAATGCACATGTATGCAACCAAAGTTTACAATACATGCTTCAAGTTTGCAAGATAGCTAATTAACTGCCTATGCATTAGAACATAGTACAAACATACCAGTGATAACTCTATATAAACCTTGTCTAAACCTCTGTCATATTTACACCAGCAGGGGGCACCAATTACTTGTGAAAATATGCCACTTCGACTGGACCTTAGTCGACACAAAGAATTTACCATACATTCTTGGTCGTTCAAGTTTTGAACATCATATTTAAAAAATTAATGAATAAATAAATAATAATCCCTGCAAGTAAAACATTAGTACTGAAGAATCTTGGAAACACAGTTTTTACTCTTTATTTCTCTTGGTTTTAACAGTCACTGAATTGAGGAACAAATGAATTGATTCAAACTCCCACACTCAACTGTTGTGAACAAAGCACATGCACCACAGGCCTGCTCTCTTATTAGCAAGAAAACTGGACTACATTTAAGCCAAAAGCCAAACCTACAAAACAAAACAAGTGATTAGTGTAGTTTTCAGTTTTTTTTCACCAACGAAACACAAAAGATCACTATAAAAATATGAAGAGCAAAATGAATACAAATACTGATACAAATGTGTTCTTAAGATATTAAATGGCATCAGGCACTTGCAAGTCTGACTTCAGTGATCAGATGTCCACTTGCAGCTTGCACAAAAAAATAGGAAACAGTGACAGACTGTGAGAGCTGCTCAGTCATCTGTCCACTCAAATGAATGCTCTTTTTTAGCAGTTGGTAAATTCACAACATTAACTAGTCTCCGGTGTTGTTGCATAACTCCACAGCCCACACTAATTAGGATGCTAAGAAAGATTCTCTGTTTTATAATTAAGAGTCAAGTCAAAATGTTTAAAAGTTTAAGTTCAAAACACATACTAACAGGGAGTGACTTTATGTGATTTCAGTCTTGATTCAGTCCTGATTTATTTCAATGCAGCCTTGAGAACAGGCCCCAAACTAAAAAAAAAATCTCCCTATGTTTATTTAGTTTCATTTGATAAAGATTATTTTAAGAACATTGTGGGACAACATATCTATAATGTCATATTATTATAAGGGTCACAATCAGTATTTTTAATAAAAGACTGTTATTTTAGGGACATTGTACCTTCTCTGGGTATATGGGGCCTCTTTATGTCTGGAAGCCCCCGCTGTAACTTAACTATGAGTCTCTGTGGGGACTTTTCCACACTAGTCCACGATAAAAGAGCAGGAAACCACTCTTAGACTTTCTGTAGACAGACTTATTTGTATGTTTAAGGTTTTGTGTGAACACGCTCCATATTTGTGGCTCTTTAAGACATTTATATTGAAAGGATATAGCCTGAACAATAGCCCATAGCTACAGTGAAGGCTGACACTCTGAAACCTTCTGCATAGGGGCTTTTGCACCTCCTTCCTGTCACGGTGCACACCTTATTAACAGGAACATCTTAACAAAACAATATATCCTGTTATTCTAATTGGGAGACGTGTGGCCTCTCGCAACCCACACTTTCATAATGATGAATCTGTCTGGGTTTCAAAAGGACAGCAGCGTTATTAGGCTTTGTTAATTGGTAACCTGGAAACCATAGCGAGGATCTATTTTGGGTGAGCTGGTATGACAGACTGGCACTTTAACCTCTCTGCTGCCCTCTGGCCCACTGTCCTGCCACTGTCACCACTATTCTCCCCCATCACGCTCACACTTGGATCTTTCATTATTGTTTCAACCTCTGAAGCGCCTCTCAATTACCCCCGGAGCGAGCGGAGCAGCCATGTTAAAGAGGCCCACTGGCAATGCGCAGACACAGGCCTGGTATCAGTTCCCAAACACATCCACCCGGAAACCATTGCTTAACACCTCCAAGTGTGCCCTCCTCTCACATCTCTCTTTCGCTGTCAGCGCCATTGTGCAATACATGGTGTCTGTGCGGGCTGCAAATGCGAAAATGTGTCTGATAAAACAGTTGAGGCACTATTTGATTTTAAAACCGTTCAGAATAATCTTAATCTTTGTAAATAGTACACATTTCAGTACCAGGCCGAGCCACTGAGCTTGAGCCATTGAGCAGAGTCACTGGGCTGATGTGCAAACACAACAGTGTCCAGGCCCACATCAGGTTCAAGAGTAACTGTTTTTACCACACAGCCACAAAACACCTCCCTTTTGTTATTTTCCATTATCCTTGGTACATTTTTTCTTTAATTTAGCTTTTATCAATATAAAACACTGAAAAAGCAAAAAGTGAAAAATTAACATTACAAATTCTATTCTCATTTTCATGCACAAAAGCCCCATGTACTAAACTGTTACAGTTTCAATGTTTAAGCCAAATTGATTATTATAAATTATTATGTGTCTCTTCTAAATGAACTGTGATTATTATGTAGGGGCAATCATTTAAACAGACGAGCAGCATATCTGCTGCAAAAGAATTATATTTTTTATTGTCATCCTGATTACTGCTTCATCGATTGAAAAAAAAAACATCACTGAAACAATTCTTTCTAAATCAAGTGTTATCATGTAATCAACAGCGTGATCATTATCAACTCATAAAATATTTCTGAACAGACATTTAGGAAAAACTATTTCATGCTTGAGCACACCGCAGCTGTGAACAACACTAGACTGCTTGATACTTGAATGATATTACCATTTAAACTCCCATATTACACAAAATGTATTTTTAATGATTTTATTCATGCGATAAAGTTCTAACATCATAACACTGCTTTTCTGCTGGACTAACATTTTTAATCTTGTTGATGAAGTAAAGAGTTACAACAATAATCTAGTAATCAAATACACCAATATATGCAATGCAATCCTGTTTAATAACATTTAAAAGGAACAAAATAACATACAATATCTCCAATTGTATGTTTGATGGTACCTATACTTATAAATGTGGCTCTGTGTTACGCTTTGTTTTAAAGACACATGTGCAGTCCCCAGTGTCACACAGTCCCCCACACTCCACATGTGAAGGACTAACTGCAGAGGAAAAAGAAGGGTAATAACCAGTGTTAAACAGGAAATCCCAGCCTGTGGGTGGGACATCCCTGCTCCATTACGACTCTGCCAGTTTAGCATTTACAAACAACACTTTGGTGTCTGCACTGGGGTCAGAAAACACAACTGAATAGACTAAATAATAAGAAACAAACAAAATTTCTATACTGGTTATACTATTATGTCTTTTGCAACGTGCTTTAGTAGGTTGATTTTATTTCTTTATGACGATTATAACAACTATTACCACTATACCCTGCACTAATATTGTTACTACTGTTACTGCAATAATTATTGATATTGATTAGTTTTTCTCACATTGCAAGCAGCAAAAATAAGCAGGAATGGCCAGTCACGTTTGCTGCTTGTTATTATGGAAAGATAACCTTTCAGAGTCCTAGTATTCTCTTTCAAATGAAATCTTACAGTGAAGGAAACTTTTTGACACAAATAATTTGGGCCCAAAGTGAGCTCTGTTTCATGTCATGTTGACAACTTTACCTGTCATATTTTTTCTCTCAAATGTTTTCCCTCCAGTATCATAGAGCTACCAAATTTCCAGGTGAAAGGTAAAATATTTTGCTGACAGAAAACAAATTAGCTTCCAGTCATCTTTGGAAGCAAAGTGAGGCAGTATTTTGGGGTCTGTTTTGAGTTCTACCATGTTCCTCTCCAAGCCTGTTCAAATAGCGTCTTATTGAAGACCATGTCCAGATATACCTTTTTTGTTGTTAGTCTTTGTTCTTCAATTTGCCTAGAAGAGTAAGGCTGTTCAATCTACATTATAACAAAAGTTGACATCTGCTAACAAAGTAGTCCTATTGCTGCCACTTGTCTACACTTTGATGCCCCTCAGAAGAAGGAGAAAATATATTTACTAGAATTTATAAAGTAAATATCTTTTTAAATGCTGTTAAATTTGACCATTAGACCACATACCACATTCAGACAGCAATTCACAGCTCAGGCTATTTCTTTATCTTTTGATTAGTGAAAAGACCAATACAATTTAATGGATTGTATGGATGAATCAAAAACATTTAAAAGAAGCAGGTCCCAAACCTGTTAGTATGCAGAGGACATCTTTGGACAGTGATTGGCTATAAAACCAAACATGCATAATTATATCCGCACGCCTCCCCTCACTCCAGACTGTTGTGGTGTGTATCTGTTAAAGCCCTGCAGCTACACCCTCTCCACTCTGACACGGCATAGTGATCCTGCCCCTGGTCAGGAGTAATGAGCTGAAGCTAACAGCCCCAAGCATAAACAAATTCCTCTTTGACCACGGGAAATATATGCCGCTAGCTGCGTGCCAATTCAAAACAGTATTTGAACCCAAGAAGTAAGTGAGGAAAGTGAGATGCATAATCAAACAGATGTGTTCGTAGGGTTTGATTTGTTGGGCATGCTTTCTTGTCCGGCTAAATAAACAATAGACATCACTGGAGTTCCCAACCTCTCAGTATAAACTATAAAATAATCAGTAGAAAACACTGCCCTATGAATATTCACTTTAAGCACAATGAGCACAATGTGTTAGCCATTACGAGATGAGCCAATGACTTGATGGAGGTCTCTAATGTTTACAGCCCCTAATTTCTCCAATGCTATGTAGTCTGTCATAGTTCAGTCCAAAACATGCACACTATAAATCCTCCAGCCACGATAGTCCTGACCCGACATATAGCTCAAGACTGGGAGATAGGTTCCAGAAGACATATTTGCCTACAGGGACAATAAAATGTACCTTACCCATAACTTAGTCTGCATTCACTCTTGCACATAGATCACATTAAACTGAGACTAAACTGGGACTAAGCCATACCAGGACTAAACTAAGACTAGAACAGGACCAATCCAAGTCTACACCAGGACTTAAACAGGACTCAAAACAGGAACAGGTTTACCCCTGAACTATACTAGTACTTTACCCAGTTACAATTGCTTGAATATGTTTACAAAACCAATGACTTTATAGGATTCCTTTTTTGCCCTGATGGAAATATTACTTCTGAACTTCAACAACAAAAACAGCCCAGCCAATAAAATGTAAATGACTTGTGCTTTCTATGTTTTTGAATGCCTTCTTCTTTTACTAAATGGGGTCTATTCTTAGCTCTTCTGGCAGTGCCCATCCTCCCAGCATAAATATCTGACCGACAGCAGCAATATGTGAGTTAATTTCCTTTAGAGTTTGTAAAGCAGCATGGAGCATAGTCTCTGAGGACCCAGAGGCCCTGAGATTAACTGGGCTAGAGTGCAGGGGAGGCCACCTACCCTTCACTTGGCAGGCTCCTCATATGGACCGGTTGCATCAGATAGAATGTAGCAGACTGGAACGATGGCTAGTAATATTTGGGAAAGCTTGTAAAAATCCCTTTAAAAACCTCTTAAATATTGCATGTTAACCACTATGCCCATCCCGAAATAAATAATACGATGTGACTGTTTTGTTATGTTACGCAGACTCATAAAACAATAAAAATTTTATGAAATCAACAGAAGCTATGGTTTGGCTTGGCTGAATACAAAATATATGGCTTCTATTTTCACCAGTACAGTATATAACAGCCACACTGTATCAGAGCCCACACTATGGTTGACTATTTGGACTAATAAATGTTACTCAGGATTCCAGGCCGTGATTTACGAAGGCTATAGCCTCTAAATGTCTAGCTGGAAGTTTGTGTAGACACATTTGAATGAAAACACTTTTACTGCAAAACTCTTTAACCTCGAGAAACCCTGGGAGGAAATATTTTAATATAAGAGCAGTTTAGATAGACACAGACAAGTGTTTAAGTAGGGCTGTATGGATGTAGAGATTAGCCCCTGGAGATCATATTGTTTATCCTTAGTGTCCACTGGGGCAACTACATTTATTGAAGAAGACTACACTTAGCCTGGCACAACACTGAGTCATTACATTATGGTAGTTTGATAAAATTCCATTTAGTTGGGTATAGTTTTGCCTGTTATGGCTAGATTTGTGACCCTTAAACTGTCCAAGTTTTCATATAAAATAATAGGGACACAAAATGTGCTCAGATCTTCCTAAACTCTAACAGAATTTTAAAATAATTCATAATATTTATATAGACCATTTGACTGAGTTTTAGTAATAGAGGTGGAAATGGCATTCTGAAACTAGTATGCCATGCACACCAACATTTTCAATTCAAAATTAAAAAGCCATATTGTGACCATGTAAATGAATGATAGTGGTGAGTATAGTGGCTCATTCAATCAAAGCATGGGACTTTTTGTGACTACATGACTTCAAAGGGTATGACCCGAATGTGTAAACACAGAGCAGATCACAGTCGATGGGGGGAGCAGATAACAGAAAATATGGTCTGTCCAAGTGTGAAGGACAATGGGAGTAGCCCATTCAGACTGAGAGTGTCTGACCTCTTGAACTCACCTATTGGCAAAGCGACGAAGAAAGGCAGCCAGCAAAGCGTAAACATGCCCACTACAACTCCCAACGTTTTTGCCGCTTTCTTCTCGCGGGAAAACTTGAGAAGTTTGACAGTAAGTGAACTTCTGGCTTGGTGCGCGCGCCCCTTCCCGGCTGTGGACGCGCTCGTCTCATCGTTGACCTGCGAGCCTTTGTGTATCCTTAACGTGAGCTCACTAGAGTTCATTCTCTCGCGCATCACTCCGGCCTCCAGGTTCTTAGTAGTCCGTTTGGCTACTATATAGACACGGCAGTACATGGCCAGTATGACCACGAGCGGGATGTAGAAGGAGCCCAGGGACGAGAAAAGCGCATAGAAAGGCTCCTCTGTGATTTTGCACACGGTGTCGTCCGGAGACGGCGGCTGCTTCCAGCCGAGCAACGGTCCGATAGATATGACTATGGACAGCACCCAAACGCCCAGCATGGCCAGCAGCGCGCGCTTCTCCGTCACGATGCCCGGGTACTGCAACGGGTGGCTCACTCCTATGTAACGGTCAATGGAGATGACGCACAGGCTCATGATGGACGCGGTGCAGCACAAGACATCCAAAGCTGCCCAAATGTCACAGAACACGCGCCCAAAGACCCAGTAGTCCAGGATCTCCAGAGTAGCAGACACAGGCAGAACCATGGTGCCCAGGAGCAGGTCCGCGATGGCCAGGTTGATGATGAAATAGTTGGTCGGCGTGCGCAGGTGCCTGTTGCACACCACTGACAGGATGACCAAGATATTCCCCGCGATGGCAAACACGATGAACGCCCCCAGTACCAAGCCCAGCGGGATAGCCCGGCTGAGGACCACCGCTGTGTGGTTCCCCCCGGAGCTATTCGGGGACACGTCCGCGACCGCATCCAACCTCGAGGAAGCGTTTTCCCACAAGTTTGTGACATTGTCAGTGCTTCCACTCATTTTGCCTCAAGAGATCCTCCATATCAGTCTTTAAAGCGGTTTGAACCCAATGACAGAAAATTACCAAAACACAAAGCTGTCACTAAGTCTGCGTGGTCACTGCATTGTCAGAGCGCAGTGCTCCTCTCGAGAGGCTCACAGAGAAGTGGGGGTCTCCTCTCCGCGCGCACAGCCCCGACAGACACTGACCAAACACACAAACCGGAGCAGCGCGCGCATGACGCACAGCCCCTCAACTCAGGCGCGTTTGGATTAATCGGGAAGAGATAGTGCAGACAGGAGAGGACTCTTGTGGCTTGTCTTCATTACCAAACAGTTATTTATGAATAAGACACAGAGGAGAAGTTTAGGGTCAAATCATATTCACTTCATTCAACATGAGACCTCCAACACTGTAGAACAAAACTGCTGTCATGCTGAGCACTTGCACCAGAGAAAATAAACCAGCGGGGTACTTCGGATTTCTTGGGTGATGTTTGGCAGAAATAAGCAGTTCCAGCAGCTCAAAAGGTCAAATTTATTAAGTTCAGTATGAAACAATTGGAGTCCATGCTTTTATGACTTGTGTTTCTGGTAAAACACACTCCTATTTTGGTCATGTGCACCAGTCCCATTGGAGTAATCTCATTTTGGATACAGGGCTCAGTTAGTGAGGAGTGACTGATTTAATGGGTTCATTTCAGACACTGGACATTCCTGGAGCAGTGGTCCCTCATGTTTTAAGTGCTTTCTGGCTAAACCTGAGGAGTTTTTTTGGATGACATAGTGTTGAGTTCAACTCTGAATCTGTCACAAACATCCTATAGCAGCCTATAACATTCCAGTGAAAACTTTTAAAGAAATTTTTTCTCCCATTTGTCAGAGCTTCTGTGATGTTTTATTTGCACTGTTGCTTTTATGGATATTTTGATACTTTCATTCAGTCATCAAGTATTTTAGTCATAAAATTTGGCAAAAATATTGTAGATCTGTAGGCTGCATAATTTTGAGTCACTATAAATTCATTGTTAACTTGCCATTTCAAGGAGCTGTGTTCTCACTTGCTTTTAATTTATTGCATTCATAAAATATGATTTGTTGAGCTTTACTATTCCCACGTTAGTTCTTTTTCTGAACAAACAAACAAACAAACAAAATCAATGGAACAGTCCCAAGCCCAGATACCAGGGTTGTTTGTGATAGAAACCTGGTGCAGCATGCAATCATTTTAAAGATAAATCTTGTGTGAAAATTTAAGTGGTTTGAAAAAAAAAAAAAAAAAGTAAATTGGGTGGAGTAGAGTGGGGCCTGTGTTTTTGAAGTGTAATACTTTGACAGCATTGTGTAAATGTCAACAAAAGTTTTTGTTAAAACCTTTGCTTTTGAGTTTTTGTCTTTTGAGTCCTCACTGATGTATTTTTATTTTGTATTTTATGTCATGCTATTTTTGTCATGTTAATATAAAGTTTGAATAAAGGCAACATTTAAATTAATGCAATAATAAATGCAAGGTGTATCTGTTTAATGTCATACTGAGGAACATTCAAAGCAGAGCAATGACATATCCACAGAAACAAGGTGATGGACATATAACCAAAAGGCTACATAGTGTACCTTTAACTTATGACAATAAATAAATATTTTAATTAGAAAAAAAATAAAAAGGTTTATAACTTTATTGAAGCTATGCTTGTATCCACATCACTATTTTATCAAGTGTAAGCACATGTTATCACTTTAGTTTTGCTTAGATTCATTTCATAAACCCAGGGCAAACTGTCTGATCTGCTCATTCACAGATAATAAATGCTCCTTTGAATCCTTCGAGCTCCTTCAGGATGGATTAGCAGTCCTGCGCCCACACATCTCTTAAACAGACTGCTGAGGGCTCACGTATTACAGGCCTCTGTTAAGATGAATCAACCCCACTCACATCACCTCACCTCCAGCTGGAGTTTTTAGTGCGGCGATCAGGTACATTACACTGTCTGTCTCATTTGGCTGAATGGGCTGAACTTTCAAATAACACGGAAGCTGCTCAGGCCCCCTGCCAACTGCTGCAGGTGAAGAAAACTTTCATATCTCATTCTTAAAATCCTTCTTCATCAAGTGATTTTTCTGCCTTTCTGAGCATGTTATTGGAGTAGGGTTTACAGTAAAGAAGAACTGTGCCTGCTGTCAGTTATAAAAGCACTTTAAAAAAAAAAAATCTTATCTTTATTTGAGGTATTATCTAAATTCAAATTAGAATTCTGTTTACTATGGCAACCAGAGCAGTATGTTAGTGTAAAAAAAGCAAAAGGTTAAAAATATGAGAGGACATGGTTTTTTCCTTTTGTCAGTGAAAAGGTGAGAAGTTCGCTTTTCTTTGTGAACCTCTGCTTGTGTTCAAAGCCTGGCCCCTTTAGACTCGGGGGTCAATGGTCAGTGCTCCTGTTGAGGCACACACATGTTCACCATTACCAACACAAACAGTGTCTATCTCACCAGCAGCTACAGACACACCTGGAAAAGCAGCTATACAACAGCTCTGAAAAAACAAATATAAAGTGAAAGTATTTATGCTTACTGTGAAACTCCTCACTCAGCAGTTTTATGACAAGTTAAACCTACACACAGCCCACCTGGATTCTCTTCTTTGAAAATTGCACAATAATAATAGATATTGGTTGTGTAATATGTACTTTTCTAGTTCGTAAAAACATGGTTGGCAAAGTTTTGTTGTGGTTGTAGTTCATGTATTTAACATTTTGGTCAGTGAAAATTGTGTATAGGCGTGTGCAAAAATATCAAAATATCTATATATATATACTAGTAAATTTGATACTAAAGTTGGTGATACTGTATCATCATGGGCTGCTGCATCGACATATTAAAAAAGAGTATTTTTTGTATCTTTTAGCTTTTTTTGTGTGTGACGACACTACAGTTTAGCAGAAATTTACACTTTACACACGATACAATTGGCATAATCTTTATTTTGATGATTAAAATGTATTTCATATTAACTTTCCACAAGAAGTGGTTCACAAAGAAACATTGTTACTAAAATGTGTTTGGTTCTCAAAAAACAGCAATTTATCACAGAGTATTATGTGCAATATATCGATTATCACATCTTTCGCCATATTGTGATATTGTGTTGTGAGTCATGTATCGTCTGTCGTATTGAATCGTGAGGGATCCTGTGATTCCCAGACCTAGCTGAGTATTTGAGTAAGTGATTGATTTTCACCTAAAAATTATGTCCATTGTAAAATCAATCTCTACGAAACATAAAGTAGCCATAAAGTTTATTACACCGTTTGAGAAATCACGTTGAGGAGTTGTTTTACGGTCTGAGAAGTGTAGCGCTCATTAGCTGTCACACTCAAGAGGAACAGTCTTTTTCTTCGCCAAGTCACCAAGGTCAAAGAAATACATCAGGAAGATCAGAAGACCCTCTACACCAGGGGTCAAGCTCATATGGCATCTTCGGCTGTGCACAGAACCTGAACAAATGGAAAAATGTTAAGGGAAATTACAACAATATGAATTAAAGGACTAAAACAGATATATTGGTTTATTAGCCTACAATAAAATACCGACCAGCTGTTGACCTCAATACTCTTTTTTACAGAGATCCAACAAATTAAATCAATGCGCAAAGTGAGAGATGGTGTGGCAACACCTGAAGATAGAAGATCAAGGGAAGGGAAAAGTAATTTAAATCACAAGAATCTTAAATTTTGCTAAAATATTACAAAATTTTCAGTTAAACTCCGGACTGACATCAAGAAAAAAGAAAAAAGACATATCTTTGGGAGGTCCTGTCTGTTCCTTTTAAAACAACAGTTCATGCCAGGTTTGTGGTCATAATAGTTCACCTGGATCCAGCATAAACTGCCATCACAAATATAGACATTACCCCCCTAAGAAACGCTAATATTTGTACAACCTCGAAACATAGTGAACATTGAAATATTGAAAATAACACTGAATTATCTAAATCACAATTTGACATTATCCACAATCCATAGTTTTCCAGTAACACACAGTGGGGGTGACTTTTTTTTGGCCAGGCAGTGGTTAAAAAGAAAGCACAGACAAAATATCCTGTACACTATGCAAAGGGTATTGGAAAGACAGCAGGAATGTGACCCTGTTGATTAAACAAAATTTTATATCATTAGACTGATGTGGAATAAATTATTCTGTACCATATTAACTGTACTTTGGAACCATTCAAGCTTGTTCAAGTTGAATTAAAAAATGTGCCACTTTACATTTTACTAAATCCTAGATGACTAGATTCAAGTTCAGTGGCTGCAGTGACATGATACTGATTTCTACACCTTAAAGATGATTTAAAGTAAGCTTCAGACCATGTTATAATATTGTTACCTCCTCAAAAACATACCTGGAATTGTGCTTCATTCACACACATTTGAGTAACCCTTTATTAGTCTGTCTACATCTCAAAAGTCAAAATGCTCTGTTCCATCATATAGTGGTATTTTTTAAGATAATGGCTGCATTTTACCTTTAGTTGAGTAGAGATTGGCAAATCCAGCTCTAAAATAATCCAAATGATTCTATTAAGAGTGTATGTATTAAAAACACAGTGGAGCACTTCCTGTATTACCACATGACATCACAGTTGTGATCACAGTGGAGTTTTTTTCTGTTCGAGAGAAGAACTCTGAACATAAAACACAACACAACGAACTATATGTTTGTAATGAGGAAACAACATTCTAACAGATAAGAGAAATGACATGCAAACACAAAATTTCATTAATCAGAGGGACCATTAGTTGAATGAAATGATAATATTGCTGTTTACATTTTAATAATCTTATGACTCCAAAAATCAGTGCTGCAGCCAATATCCAGAAAGCTGCATTTTTTTGCAGCCAGAAAGCTCATGGACCAGAGGTGACTCGGACATGACCAAATGGACTTTCAAACTCTATTTAATATGATTTGAGCATGAACAGCATCTTTCATTTCACACTGCTTATCTACTATTGGCTTAATGT